CTGGAGGGTCCCCGATGGCGGCTGTGTCGTTGTCCTCCTCACCATGACAGTCTCAGCCTGAGGTCTAGGGCAGGTGGACAGGGGCCGAGCAGGGACTCTTGGCAGCAGCGAAGGCATGACACAGGCAGCCTCAGACACGGGGCCTTCGTCCCGGAAGGCAGGCTAGGGGACGCAGGCACCCTGTTCGCCTGGTGGGCAGGGCCGTGCATCTACCAGGATATTCCTCTCGTATTTGATTTGCACCGAGGGCTCAGTAGCCAAAAAGTACAGGTGAAAACTGGACTAGTCCATACTGTATAGAGCAAGGCCAGGCCCAGAAAGGGGCAGGGCCTTGCCTTGGTCACACAGCCTGAGGCACCAGCCTGGGGCTGGCAAGTGGGTCTCACCCCGGTTGGCCCCCAGCCCCCTCCTGCACCCGGCCTGCTCTGCTGGGGCCGAGGTTGTCCTGCAGTGCAGATGAGGAAACAGGGTGCAGATGGAAGCACCAGACTTCTAAAGTCCTGGAAGCCACTGGCCCTTAACTCTACCTGGACTGGCAAGTGGAGAGGCCAGTGGCTTCCCTGGGGGCTGTGGGTGTGACGCCAGGCCTCTGTCTGCCAGGATGTCTTCACGGAGGTCATGGGCCGGAAGCGGCCACAGCCAGGACCTGACCGGGGAGCCAAGAGGCGGAGGGAGGAGGCCTGGCATCGGGACCAGGAATTCTACATCCCCTACCGGCCCAAGGACTTCGACAGTGAGCGGGGGTGAGTGGCTGGCTGGTCCTGGGGTGGGGCAGGTGGGGCCTGACGGGCCCCCCCACTGACCCTGTGGCGTGCCCCCACCCTTCGTCTGCAGCCTGAGCGTCGGTGGGGACGGGGGGGCATTCGAGCAGCAGGTGGCTGGCGCTGTCCTGGACCTGATGGGGGACGAAGCCCGGAACCTGACGAGGGGCCGGCAGCAGCTCAAGTGGTGAGTGAGCAAACGAGCAAGTGAGCATGCATCCCTGCCTGCCCTGTGGTCCCACACAGCAAACAAGTGGCCCCTGTCTGTCCTGACTCCCGTTTGTTCCTCTAGAGCAGGAAATATCACCACCCCCATTTGATTGTGTGCAGCATGGATTGTGAGCCCTCCTGTGTTGTCCCATGTGATCGCACACAGCAAGGACAGTGACCCCACCACCACATCCTGTCCCCTTGATTTGATCATACACAACAGGGATCTTGATCCGTCTGTCCTTCCTGCTAGCTCGCCTTTCTCGACAGAGCTCATGACCCATCTCTCCCATTTGGACTCTGGTTCCAGAGAAATGGTGTGACTCACCCAGGGTCACAGAGCCAGGAGGTGGCAGAGTAGGATTGGGCACCCCCGCTAGGCCCCTAACCCTGATCCAGCCCCCCCAATTCCCAATGACCCCCACACCACCTTTTGAGACCTGGGCTGCCAGGAAGAGGGGAGGCGGGCAGGGAACGGGCCTTTATTGAGCACTTGCTGTATGCCAGACATGGGCGGGCTGCTTCCCTTGAGGCGGTGGGGAGGAAACAGGCGCCCCAGGCCACCTCCTTCCACATCAGCTCTCCCAACTCTGTCTCCCGCAGGGACCGGAAGAAGAAGCGGTTTGTGGGACAGTCGGGAGCGGAGGACAAGAAAAAGATCAAGACCGAGAGTGGCCGCTACATCAGCAGCTCCTACAAACGGGACCTGTATCCGGAGGGGCGGGGCCCGGGGGCGGGGCCGAGTATCCCCTAGAGGCGGGTGTGGGGTTGGGGCGGGGCCCAGCAGCCTCTGGCCCTGCATACTCTGGATTTGGGGGTGCGGCCGAGCACCTTCTGTTGCCCCACCCCCGGCAGGTGGTACCTGTATCCGCTGGAGGGGGTGCGGGGCCTGCTCCCCGCCCAGTGGTGTCTAGGGCATCATGGTCCCGCACGCAGCCTCCTTAACGCGCGGCTTCCCAGCTACCAGAAGTGGAAACAGAAACAGAAAATCGATGATCGGGACTCAGAAGACGAAGGAACATCCCACCAGCGAGGCCCAGAGCGAAGAGGTGGGAAGCGGGGCAGAGGCCAAGGTAATGATCCGCAAAGCAGTTTGGCACGTGGCCCATTTGATCATCCAGGGACTTGGTTCTCTTCGGTGGGGCTGAGCCCTTCAGCGGCGCCAGGCTGCCGTGGGATTTGAACGGGCTCTGTCCGTTCCCCTCAGCGTCTCTCCTCTCTGGCTAGGTCTCTTCCGTTTCTCCCTGTCTGCCTCTGTCTCTGGTGTTTTGGGAGGCTTCCTCTCTGTCACTCCCTAGGCTCTCTCTCTGTGGGTGCCCGTTCCTCTCTTTCCCTCTCTGGCTCTGCATCCCTGTCCCTGCGCCTCTCTCTGCCTCTCTCCTCGTTCTGTCTTTGTCTCCTTTTCTTCCCATCTCTCAGACTTTCTGTTTCCATCTGTCCCCCTCGTCATTTCATTCTTTATCTCCTTTCTTCCCGTGTCTTGGTCTTTCTGTCTCCGTTCTGTCTTCATCTGTCTCCCTCATCATTTCTCTTCCTTTCTGTACACACGCATCTCCCAGTCTTTGTTCTCTCCTTCCCAGTCTCTCTGTGTCTCTCTTTCCCCTCTTGGTGTCTCTGTCTCTGTCTCCATCTCTCCGTGCCTCTGTGGACGTGCCCTGCCTGGGCCTCGCACCCCTCACGGCTCAGCTCCCGGTTTTACCCGCTGCTCTGGGCCTGCTGGGCCAGGGGGTGAGGATGGCCTGTGGGCTTCAGGAAGGAGCAGCCATTCTCCATCTGTGCTTTGTCCTCCTTGGAGGTGATGGGTCCCTGTCAGGCGCCCTGGCCCCCGTGGAGACAGCTGTGGCTGCCTTAATGATCATCTGTTGGGGGAGCTCTGAAAAGGTCACTCTTGCGGGAGGGGAGGAGCCAGGCAGGGAGAGGGAACGTGGTAGAGGAGGGGGCACCCAGGACTTAGTGGGGAGCCAGGGAGGCAGGGGTAAGTGCCCTCCCAGAGATCTGGGAGAGCAGGCTGGGCTGGGGCCACTGACGTCTGCTGCCGCCGCTTTGCTCTGTCACCTTGGGCACATCCCTTCCCCTCTCTGGCGTTCTCTGACCTCTCTCCTGCCCGAGGAGGTTAAGCTAACAGCCTAGGGCGTGCAGTCCGTGGAGGCAGGGATTGGAGTCTTTCTCAGTCAGTGCTGGGTCCCCAGTGCCTGGCGGAGAGCACATGCTCAATAAATCTCCATTGGATGGTCTGTAACCGTGATAGTGCCCTTAGGAGGCCCTTACTCTGGGCTGGCTCTTGTTTTGAGCATGGTAACACGCCTCCTCACCTCCTCCTCATTGGGACCCGTGAGGTAGGTGCCGTTATCTCTGATTCAGAGTGGGGAACAGAGGCGCAGAGAAGTTAAGTGACTTGCTCAAGGTCTGAGAGGTCATGGCTGGGATTTGAACCCCGGCAGTGTGGGTTTGAGAGGCCATGCTGTTGACCACGACAGCAGTCTACAGAAGCTTTATTGAGTACCTACAATGAGCCAAACCCTGGGGCCACAGCAGTGAACCCAGAACGGGAGCAGGGTGGTGGTGGGCGGGGGGCGGTCTGGAGGCTCCTGGGAAGAGGAGGCCCTAGGAGTGGACTGGAAGGCTGAGCTCCTTGAATCCCTGTCCTGGCAGGTGCGTCCCAGCCCCGCACCCCAGGTGCCCCTGCAGGCCGCGTGCGCTCAGAGCTCAAGACCAAGCAGCAGATTCTGAAGCAACGGCGCCGAGCGCAGAAGCTGTGCTTCCTGCAGCGAGGGGGCCTGAAGCAGCTCTCTGCCCGCAACCGGCGCCGAGCCCAGGAGCTGCAGCGGGGCGCCTTCGGCCGGGGCGCCCACGCCAAGAAGGGCAAGATGAGGAAGAGGATGTAAGGCATGTGACCCAGCCCCCTGGCTCCTCAAGTGGTGCAGGGGTGGACGTCAGCAGACGTCCCCAAGTGCCACTGCGTGCCTGGCCCTGTGCCGGCCACTGGCAGAGCTCCCTGCAGAAGAGGGGTGCTGCCTGGCCACACAGGGCAGTGGCCGCCTCTGCCCGAGGTGGAGCCTTTCACACAGGGTCTTCAAGGGCGCGTGGGGGTGTTGCCGGCAAGGTCAGGACGGCCAAAACCCAAGGTGGCCACTCAGCTGCTGCTGCTTCCATGTGTTCTGGGCGGTTCCTGAGTTCAGAGGTGGTGGCCACTCGGGGCCAAGCCCTTAGTGCCTAAGGCCCAGTGATGTATTTTTAATGTAATAAACCTTTATTGAGCATTTCGAGTGGACGGGGAGTGCCATCTACCCAAGGAGCCCGGAGGGGCGGACCTAGGTATTAAAGCCCCAGCTGGTGTGCCCGCTATTAAAGCCCCAGCTGGTGTGCCCGCTGAGTCCAGAGAGTGGGGGCTGGGGAGGGAGGTGGGAAGTGGGGTGTGGGGCAGAGGGCTCAGCGGCTCCTCCTCTGGCAGTGAAGGGGTTCACATGGCCCCACCACACCCCCACCACACCCACAGAGGTGAGAACCTGGTCTTGGCCTTTGCCCTGCAAGCCCTATCCTCCCCAGCCCCAGTCTGGGGTCCTGGGAAGGTCAAGGGCAGCCTCCAGCAGTTGGATTCTCAGGCCACGGATCACCTGTGCCACTCCACAATAGAGGAGGCCTTGTGAGCAGGCACCCCATGTGCGGGTGCTTGCTTTGTGGCCCTCTTGTTGGTCCTATTTTACTTTACTTACCAAGCACTCATCTAGAATTTACCAGAATTTGCCTCAGGCTTCATTCCAAACCCCTGACACACATCAGCTTGTTTAATGCCATGAGTGCACCGAGAGGGAGGACCTGGTCCCATGCCATGTGGTGGATGAGGGATTGGTGCCCCCCAATGTGGCCCACATTTATTTAGTACTTGCTGTATGCCCCTCCTGTACTCCCCACAGCAGTCTGAGCAGGAACAGCCCTCCCATCTCTCAGGTGAGGACCACTCAGCACACACCCCGCAGGACATATGCACCTCCTTTCCGGGGGGGCCCCCTACCCCCCTGCTCACCTGGGTCAGGGCTGGGAGGCAGGTGTGGGCTCGGCCTGACGAAGATTGGCCAGCATGGCGGAGAGGTCCAGGATGAACAGCTTCACCTGTGGGTCCCCAACACAGCCAGTCACATCCCAGCCCCTGAGTGTCCAGTTCTACTGTCCCCACAATCCAGGATGCTGTAGAGCAGGGGTTGGGGGTGAACACCCGTATTAAAAGCAATGATGGTGGTTCCCAGGGGCCAGCCAACCTGCCCTAGACTGTTCTGGGTCCTTCGGGCCTCAGTCCGAGCTTCCCAAATGGTCTGTGAGCAGACACCCTTAGTTTCCTAGCTGGTATCACCTGCATTATAATTAAATGAGTATTTTCACTACAATTAATTCATTTCCCCCCTTTTTAATTGGATCAATCGTATTCATTGGTGTTTGATCTGCTCTCATCTCCATGGGTTAACACTCCCATATTTCCTTTTAATCAACTTATTTATTGATATGAACTTAATGCCCACAGGTCCACTGCCAAGAGCCAGAACTTGAGGCCAACTCACCCTTGGGCTCTCCCTTCACATTTGTCACTGAAATAAACATTTGAGAGGGAAACTATATTTCTAACAAAAATAGAATTAAGTTACCCCTTGTCATAAGTGGAGGGGCAGTGGAAAAATCCTACAACAAACATGAAACCCGGTTTCACTCTTGCATTTTGGCCCCCTGCTGTTGCCTACAGGGGGTGTGAGACCCGGGCCCAGGCCCAGGGAGCACTGCGGGGGTTAAAGGCACACTCGCCCCACACTAAGTCTTTCTCCTTGGTAGGATCAGGGTCGGTTGAAAAGGGACAGGCTTTTGCCCACTCCATCATACTGAGCCTCTGTCTCTCCTGGGGTTGTCTTGTGTAGTTCAAGGTGCTGGGCCACACTTGGGAGAACAGTGGTGTCCACAAATCCGTCCTACTCAGCATGTGGCACAAAGGTAGGCTCCCGGGGTCCGAGTTCTTAGTGTTTGGTGTTGGGCGCAGGACAGGAGTGCCAGGGGCAAGTGTGCCTTTTTCCGTGTTTCTTCCACTAAAGGGGACCGTGCTTTGGGTCCCCATTTGAAGCAACAGAGGTGTCCGAAGTCAGAAGCCCCCTCCCTCCGTTGTAAACCATGTCACCCCTACAACCTTGCAAACCTGAATGGCTTGGTCCACAGTGACATTTGTGATGCGCTTGTGCAGGAAGAAAGACAAGGACCCAGCCCCACCCTCTCCCTCCCTAGGGAAGCTGAGGCCTGTCCGTGCAGGGAGCAAGAGGGTCACGGATTAATTAAAGGTGGGTCTCCACCTGGTTTCTTGTCGATGTTGTCAGTTTGTGCTGTTTGACCCTGGGACAAAGGACAGACTCGTGTCATGAATGTGCGGTGTCGCCAGTACACACCCCAGGCCCTAGGCACAGGTGAGGGCGCTGAGACCCAGAGAGGAGAGCATGGCTTCCTTGTGGCCACGGAGCAGATGCCCCTCAGAGCCAAGACCCAACCCAGGCCTCCTAGGCAGGGTTCCCAGGTGGCCATCGAGCCCAGATCTGAGGTGCTGGCATCATGCTCTCGGCTCACGGGGGGTCACGCTTAACCCAGAGTAGGTGAGATTTCCTGAAGCTTTGGGGGTTGGAGGGGACATGGCGAGGGAGCGCACCTGCTCCAGCTGCCCTTCGGTGTCCTCGACGGCCAGGGCAGGGGGCTGCCTCTTGTGCTGACGCACTAGCTGGAACAGGTTGAGCGCCGCCATTCTGGTGCGGCCCAGGAGAAGGGTCTTCTCAGCCGCTGTGTTCTGGATCTGAATCCACTTGGATTCCTGAAGAACACCCCGCCCCCTTCCAGATCACGCTTGGAGCCTGCTGAGGAGGGCTGGGGCCCGCCCACTTCCCTCCAGTCAGGGGCGCAGGGGCGCCTCCGGGAGAGGAACTGGGGGTCAGGTTCTGCTAGGACTGGCCTCCTGTGCCCTAAAGCGCTTTCTGACGCTTGCACCTGCCCGTTAGCGCCGCTGCCCCTCTGGGCTAAGCATCGCTCCTTCTGTTCTTTCTCGGGCGACGGGAGGCTGGGGGCACCTCCTCCCGGCGGGCCGTACCCAGCGCAGCGTGCGCTCCCTCGCAGCCTCCAGGCGCTCCAGCAGCTGCGCTCGTCGCTGGCCCTGCCCCAGCAGCTCGTCCTGCCCGGCGTCCCGCAGCCGCTGCAGCCGCGCGCGCGCCTCCTCCAGCTCGGCCCGCCGCCGGCGCTCCGCGAGCCGCAGCGCCGCCTGCATATCGGCCAGGCCGTCGAAGCGCGCCACCAGCTCGGGGACCTCCTGGAACTGGGGTGGGGTCCAGATGGGGTCCTCTCGCCACCTGGCCCTCGGGCGCCTCCTTGGAGGGCTACTCCCTCCCCTCCCCACTCCGGCATAAAGCCTAGCCCAGCCTCACTCCCTGTGATTGTTCTGTTCAGCTGGTATTTATTGAGTGCCTGGATACACCCCCTCCCCCTTCGCCTGTGTGCCCCTGAGGGGAAGTTACCATTGTGAGCCTCGGTTTCCCCACTTATAAAATGGGGTAGGCAAGAGCAGGACTCACTTCACCGGGCGTTGGGAGAAGTCAAGAACAAAGCTTGTCCCTGGCATACAGTCAGCGCCCAGTAAGTGGTGATTGCTGGCATACAGTCAGCGCTCCAGTAGTGCACACCCGAAGCCGTCCCAGAGGCTACCCGACGCTGCACGGTGGCGCCTGAGCCCCCAAACCTCCTGCAGGGCGCTCACCTCGGGCAGCTGCTCCAGCACTTGGCCCAGCAGGCGCGCGCAGGGCTCCAGGCGCTCCAGCCGGCGCAGCAGCCGCGCGCGCTCCCGCCGCAGCTCCTCCAGCTGGGCCCGAAGCCGGAGCGCCTCGGCCTCCCGGCGGCTCGCCTGCAGCCGCTCCTCGGCCGCCCTCCGCACCGCGCGGCCGCGCCGGGCCTCGGTGTCCTGGGGAGGCGGATGGAAAGGAGGCGACTGCCCTCACGACTTGGGAGCCGCCGGGGCTCCCCGCTTCCACCCGCCCCAACACTGACTGGCACGCCGCGCGGGACGTAGCAAACAGATGGCCCGTGGGCAGATTCAGCCAGTGTCTGATTTTCGTCCGTCACTTCTCCCCCAAGCTTTTTAAAAACTCGAATGCATCGGGCAGTGCGTGCGTATTTCCTACTACTCCCTCTTGTATTAGTAAAGCCCACTTTTAAAATTCACATGCAAGTCTGGCCTTGTGACCCAGTGACCTGCCTCCCCTCCCCCAGCCGTCTGCACCTACCTGCAAGAACTTGTCAAAGCGCACAAAAGACCCCTTTAGCTCCCGCTCCTTCTGTTCCAACTGTTCCCAGCGCTGTTTCCGGGCTGCCATCATGGTCTGGAACACCTGGGGAGAGGTGAGGAGTGGGTGTCTGTGTGTGTTTGGGGGTTCAAGTTATCCAGCACCTTGGGGTTCATACTTCGGTCGTCAGTTGTCCCTGATCTTGTCACTACACCCCTGCTCAAATCCACCCATGGCTCTTCCCACGTGTGATGAAGCCTCAGTGCCCCCCTGTAGCCCCTGCATGCCGCTGTCCCTGTCCTTCCTTCTCGTCTCATCTCACCCCCTTCCTTTAACACTGTCTTCCAGACACTGGTCCTCCTGTGTTGTGTCCTTGCCTTACAATCTTTTTTTTTTTTTTTAAGATTTTATTTATTTATTTGACGGAGAGAGAGAGAGAGAGACACAGCGAGAGAGGGAACACAAGCAGGGGGAGCGGGAGAGGGAGAAGCAGGCTTCCCGTGGAGCAGGGAGCCCGATGCGGGGCTCGATCCCAGGACCCTGAGATCACGACCTGAGCTGAAGGCAGACGCTTAACGACTGAGCCACCCAGGCGCCCCTGCCTTACAATCTTCGTATGCGCCGTTCCCTCTGCCCCCTTCTCGCTCCTCACCCCACCCCACCCCCTTTGCTGGCTAAGCTGACTTGCCCCTCCCCCACCCCCAGACATGAATTCCTTCAGGAAGCCCTCCTTGACCACCTCTTTGTGGAGATAGGGGCTTCCTCGGGGTTCCCACAGCCTTCTCAGTGCTTCCCCACCTGATAGCAGTCTACACCTGGACACTTGTCTGTCTCCTTCTTTAGACTGTGAGCCCCATGGAGGGGGACTATGGTGAGACGTCCAGATCCCAGTGCAGTGTCGTGCACATTGTAGGTGCTCAGTGCACATTTATTTGCACCAACTGATCTCATTTGATCATCAATGAGGAAACCAAAGCTCAGAGTGGTGAAATGACCCTGTAGCTAATAGGTCAGCTCCATTACTTCCCAACCCCTGCTCACCATCATTTTTTTTTCTTTGCCCGGGATCCCCAAAAGTCTCAGGGACTACAGTGGAAGCTCACCTCCTTCTGGGCCTGCAGGTCCCGGTCGGCATCCACCAGCTCCTGCCTCTTCTCCAGGAGACGCAGCACCGGTGGGAGGGGGTCCACGTTTTGCTCTGGGATCTTCCTGGAGGGGCTCCAAGGGGGAGGTGGGGATGAAGGAGGCAAAAGTCAGGGCCCCCAAACTCCCCACCAGTGCTTGAAATGCCCCCATTAGCCATATACTAGCTGTTGAATTGTTCATTCATTCAACAAATTGTACTGAGCAACTACTCTGTGCCAGGCACCTTTCTAGGCACTGGGGGGTGGGGTGCAGGTGTGAGCAAGGCAGACAAAAATCCCCACCTTCCAGAAGCCGGCGTTCTGCTGGGGGTGGGGGACACAGAAAATAAAGCTAACAAATAATAAATAATGCTAGGACATGGTAGGTGCTCAGACGAAAAATGAAGCAAAAGGAAATCTTTCAATGGGGAGGTGAAAAAGTTTCTCCGAGGAGACCCTGGGGTCATCTAGGCAGAGACCCGAAGGGCAAGAGGGAGTGAGCGCGTGGATACCTGCAGGGAACAGCGAATGCCAAGGCCCCAAGAGAAGAACTTTGGATTGTAGAAGGCTCTTGAGGCTGCTGGTGGGGGTGGGGTGGGGGGGTGGGGGGACGAGGACCACAGGAAAGGCAGGGCAGCTGCAGGAGATGGTGAAGAACCGGGTTCTGGGATAACACAGAGACAATGTGGGTCTGGTCAGGTGGTTGTAGGGGAGAGGTGAGGAGGGCGGTCACGCTGCAGTTTAAGAGCAGAGTTGATGCAGTGACGGGGGTGGGGGGGGAGGTGGTGAGAAAGGAGAGAAAGGTGAACTCCAGGTGAACTGGAAGGAGGGTGCTGGTGGAAAGCTGAATGGGGATCAGGGGAGATCAGGTCCTTGCTGTGGCTGAGCTTTGGCTGGAAGGCTGTTAGACCTCCCCGTGGGGGCTCCAGGAGGAGGCTGGGATCTGGAGTCTTGCTGGGGTGTGTGTGTTGGCGGGGGTCGATTGCACACAGCCCTACATGGTGGCTGTGTAGAGAGCAGAAGGGTTGCTTGAACATTCTGTTCAGCAGGGCATTCCCAGCACTGGTCCAGACTCTGACACTGAGCTTGGGACTCTCAGTCACTGCGGAACACAAAGGAGGCACCCGACAAGCTTCCTCCACTCCTTGAAAATGCAGCGTTCGCAGGGAGAGGGCAGCAAGAGTTCACAGAATTCCTTCCCCCCTCAGTCCAAACAATTAAATCTCAGCTGAACGTCAGCCAGGAGTGGGGATCAGGAACAGATGAGAGGCCTGGGCTGTTAACCCAACTCTGCCCTAACTAGCCCAGAGACCATTTTCCTCTGAACCTCAGTTACTTCCTCTGTGAAGTGGGGACGGCAGTACGCCGCCAGGAACTGCCCAAGGAAGCCAGGCGCCACAGGCAAGGGGAAGGCAAGGGTCATCCCACTCGCTTCTGCCCCCCTTTCTCCCCTCCCCGCCATTCTGAAGCACTCACTCGGGCATTTTCTCTTGCAAGGCCAGTCGGAAATATTCCTCCCAGGGCACGGCCATTCTCCCTGCAATTGCCCCGGGGCTTTCTGTCCACAGTGTCGGAGACTTGCACTAGCTCAGGAGGCCCTGGGGTTTTGGGTGGAGGGCAGCGTAGCAGCGTGCTCTGTGCTGTAAGAAGGCAGCCAGCCACCTAGCAGGCCTTGGTTGCCGGGGAAACCAACCACACAACATTCCGTTGCCTGCCTAAGGCCCAGGGCCTCCATCCTGGGAGGGAGAAGAAGGGGGTAGCTGGGAGGGGAGCAGGCTTTGCCGATTCCAGAGATGGCTTTTACTCCCAATCTAAACTGGGGTGCAGCGAGGAGGAGGTGGGTCCCTCAGCCAAAAATTTACCTTCTTGGTGCCCTGTGTCTGCTCAAGCCTCTTCCTGGCTGGGTGGGATGAGACGCCTCTCCCGTGGCTGTATACTCAGTTGTCCGTTCAAAAGAATAATTATTGGGCACCCACTGTTTGCAGGGTCATTCACTCCCTGGCAAGGTGCTGAGGGCCTACTATGTTGCAGCTCTTTGAGGGTCAATCCCTTTGCTACCCTGGCCAAGTCTCATGGAGCCCCCAGCCTGGTTAGGGCAATCAGCACCACCCAGTGGAGACCAGCTTGGAAGGGTCCCATGATCTAGATTTGGAGGATAGGGGAGGCGGGGAGCTGACATACTTTGGGCAATTACTGTTGCTCAGACACTGTGCTAAGCGCTCTCTGTATAATATCAGTTTAATTCTTAAAACAGCACTCCAGGGGATGGTATTAGAGAAAAGTGCCCAGAGTAATACCCCTGGGTCCCCCACCCAGAAATAACACACGCTAACATCTCATCATCTTTGCTTTCTATCATTTTAGTTTCCTGTTTTAAATAATTTTTTTCATGTAAAGAAAGGCATTTTCTTATTGTAAAATAACACTATTAGAAAAAAAAAACTACATGGAACACTACATCAAAAACTAATGATGTATGGTGATTAACATAACAATAAAAAATTATTAAAAAAAAGAAAAAAAAACTATACTTATAATGCCTACATTGCTAAAAACAACTCCTAAGCGTTTTGTTAGAGCATATTTTTAGAAAGGAGCTAAAATAATATATATTTTCTCTTTGAGCATGTTACATTAAATCACACATATATCCTTCTACATAAATTGATGTGAAGAGTTATAAGATACACGGCCTAATTTTTTCTTGATTTAAAAATATTGAGGTATAATTTACATAATGTAAACTTCATTTTTTTTCTCACATACGGTTCTGTGAGTTTTGGTAAATGTGTAAAGTCCTGTAACCACCACCACAGCCAAGATACAGAATGTTTCCATCACCCCCAGAAGTCCCCATGCTCCTTCATAATCAACCCTGTCCCCACCCCAGCCCCTGGCAACCACTGACCTGTTCTCTGTCCCAATAAGTGTGCCTTTTCCAGAATATCGGAAATGGAATTCTATACTTAGTGGCCGCTTGAGTCTGGCTTCTGTAACCCAGAAATGTTTATCAGAGATTCATTCATGTCGACATGTGTAGCTATATTTCATTCTTTTTCATTGCTGAGTAGTATTTGATTATATATCATGGTTTGTTGATTCAGCCTCCAGCTGGGTCATCTCCAGTTCTGGGCAGTTACAAATATAGCCTGTGTTCATGTACAGTTTTTTGTGTGAACATAAGCTTTCATTCTGCTCTGTATAAATACGTAGGAGCAGGAATGCTGAGTCATATGGTAAGTCTATGTCTAACTGTATAAAAAACTGCAAACTTTTTCCAAGTGGCTGTACCATTTTTATATTCACACCAGCAATGCATGAGCGGTCTCATTACTCCGTATCCTTTTTTTTTTTTAAGATTTTTTAAAAATTTTATTTATTTGACAGAGAGAGACACAGCGAGTGAGAGAACACAAGCAGGGGGAGTGAGACACGAAGAAGCAGGCTTCCCGCCGAGCAGGGAGCCCGATGCGGGGCTCGATCCCAGGACCCTGGGATCATGACCTGAGCAGAAGGCAGACGCTTAATGACCGAGCCACCCAGGCGCCCCATTACTCCGTATCCTTGCCAGCAGTTGATATTGGTGGGTTTTTAAAAAGTCATTCTAATAGATGTGTAGCTCCTGGAAGATTTTTTTTTTTTTTTTTTTTTTTAGAGACCATTGTAGATTCTCAAGCTGTTGAAGAAGTAACACAGAGAGATCCCAATTCCCTCCACCCCGTTTCCCCCAGTGGTTCCATCTTGCACACTACAGTACAATATCACCACCAAGAAATTGGCATCGATACAATCCACCAACCTTATTCAGATCTCACGGTTTTACATGCGCTCCTGTGTGTGTGTGTGTGTGTGTGTGTATTTAGTTCTATGCAAAGTTATCACACGTGGACTCCTGTGACAGCCACAATCAAGCTACATACAGAACGTTTCTCATAGGGATCCTCCAGCTAGGACCATCTCCCTCCCTCCTGCCTCCCTAACCCCTGGCAACTATGTATCTGTTCTCCATCTGTACAGTTTTATTTCCTCAAGGATGTTATATAAGTGGAATTGCACAGTATGTAACCTTTGAGACTGGCTTTTTCATTCAGCTTAATTCTCTTGAGATCCATCCTACTAGCTACACGCATCAGTGTTTATTCTTTTTGATCGCCAAGTAGCATGCCATGAGATGGATGTGCCGCGGTCGGTGAAGCATTCAGGTAGAAGGACGTTTGGGTTATTTGCAGTTTGGGGCTCTCATGAATAACCACTGTGAAGATTTGTGTCCTGGTTTTTGTGTGAGTGTAAGTTTTCATCCCTCCAGGATAGATGCCCATGAGTACAATTGTTAAGGAAGCTGCTCGAGTCTTTTCCAGAGTGGCTGTGCCACTTTAAATTCCCACTGACAGTGTAAGAGTGATCCAGCTTTTCTGCATCCTCACGGTCATCACCATTTTTTTAAAGATTTTATTTATTTTATTTATTTGACAGAGAGAGACAGGGGGAGAGGGAACACAAGCAAGGGGAGTGGGAGAGGGAGAAGCAGGCTCCCCGCGGATCAGGGAGCCCGACGTGGGACTTGATCCCAGGACCCTGGGATCATGACCTGAGCCGAAGGCAGACGCTTAACCGACTGAGCCACCCAGGGGCCCCGGTCATCACCATTTTTGATTTAGCCATTCTGATAGGTGTGCAGTGATGTCTCATTGTCGGTTTACTTGGCACTGGCTGTGATGATGATGAACATCTTTTTGTGTGCTTCTTTGCCATCTGTATATCCTCTTCAGCAAAATATCTGTTCATATCTGTTGCCTATGTTCTAACGAATTGCTCTTAGCTGTTGAGTTTTGAGAACTTCTTTACATATTCTAGATACGGGTCTTGATGTTCCAGACAATCCTCTGTTGGATATTTTTTCCCAGGCTGTTGCTGATCTTTTCATTCTCATCACATGGTCTTTTGCAAAACAAGGTTTTCAATTTTGATGATCCGATTTGCCACTTTTTCCTTCACGAATCGTGTCAAGTCTAAGGTGGGATTTGAACTTGTGCCACCTGGGTGTGGAGTCCACCCTCTTAACCACAATACTCCAGATACAGTTGAGCCCTTCTTGGATCTTTCCCTCCTCAGGCTCATTCCCTTCCTTCCCTCCTCAGAGGATGTCATCATCTTGAAGATAGTATGCATCCTTCCCTTTTGAATTTCTATTTTGTTAGAGGTGTTTTTTGGGGGGCAAATGTTTACTGAGCACCTACTCTGTACCGGGCAGTGTGTGAGGATACAGCAGTGGATAAGGCAGAACCTGCCCTCATGGGGCATACAGGCTGATGGTGAAGCTAGGGGGAAAAGTCTAGGGTGCAAGTTGCAGGGAGGGAAGCCTCTTTGAGGCAGTAACATGTGAACCCAGACCTGAAGGATGAGGCGGGATGAGAAGAAGAAAGGAAAAGTATTCCAAGTAGAGGGAACAGCACGTGCAAAGGCCCTGAGGCAGGAGGATGTGCCCCCCCCCCCACAAAGAGAACGAAGGTCTGTAGGTTGCTGTGCAGAATTCAAGGGTGATGGGATAGGTCCTGACTGGAGAGGGCCAAGGAGGGGTGAGACCTGTGACCAGTAACAGATGAGGGAACTGGGGCCCAGGGAAGTTAAGTGACCCTCCGAGGACACGAGGCTGAGAAGTGATGGATGGGCCTTGGTTTTGTTTTTAGAGATAACCTGTCCCTGCCTTGGAACTGCTCATGGCTTCGAGGAGAGGAGAAGGTCCTTACACAAACAACCTGTCTTCAGAAGGCTGAAGCTATGGGTCTACACCCCAGTCCTCAGCATTTCTGTTTTATTTTTTTTAAAGATTTTATTTATTTATTCATGAAAGACAGAGAGAGAGAGAGAGAGAGAGAGAGAGGCAGAGGGAGAAGCAGGCTCCCAAGGAGCAGGGAGCCCGACGCGGGACTCGATCCCAGGACCCTGGGATCATGACCTGAGCCGAAGGCAGACGCTCAACCATCTGAGCCACCCAGGCGCCCAGCAGCATTTCTGTTTTAAATGGGGCATTGCTTTCAGGTCCTCTTGGGGCTCCCCTGTCATGCTGCTGAGGCAGAGGTCCCAAACCCCCACCTGGGTCTGTCCCCACATCCTGGGAGATAGGGTGAGTGGGGCTGCTGAGTGACAGCAGGACACAACTTCTCAGCCGGCCTTGCCCTTGGCCACAGCTCTGGAAATATCCACTCTCCTCACCCCCAAGTCTCATGCTTGGGTGGTTTCCCCCTTCCTACTTCTCCATTCTAAGGCGGGGGTGGGGGGGTGCACCTTGGGGAGTAGGCCTGAGGAAGGAGGAAGCAGCCGGTCAGACCGACAGGCGGATACCTTGTTTCAGGCTGTGGGACTTACTGCTTCCTGGGCAGCCAGCCCACGGGAGGGGTTTGTGGAAATCCTGCCCACTCCTCCCACCTCAGCCTCCGGTCCTACGTGGCTCCTGGCCCAGAAGCGTACCCAGCGATCACAAATGGGGCTTTGTGTTCCCGAGACAAAGAACACACTCCTCACCCCCAACCTGGGCCAGGGCTTGTCTGCCTTGCCCCAACCTTGGCCTCGGAAGGGATGGTGCCACTTCCCAGGAGGGGAAACTGAGGTCTAGAGACAGGTCTGTGGAGCCAGAAGAGGGGTCTGCCCCTGCTTTGGGGGTAGAGGTGGAGCAGAGAGGAGGTAAGTTGGCAGTGATGAAGCTGCCATCCTAGGCACTGAGGGGAGGTGGGGAGGAAGTAAGAAATAATACGACTATTATCACCACGAGAGAGGCCAGATTCCAGCCCTGGAGGGGAACACAATTCTGTTTAACCCAGCGAGTGCGTTCTGAGTCTTTCTTATGTGCCAAGCGGTGTGGGAGGCGCGGCATGAATCAGACATTGTCCCTGACATTTAAGAGATAAGACGAGCGTGTAAAATACCACACAACAAGGGAACAGGAGACCAAGGTCACAGAATGGTGCCAACAGGCAGGGGTGGTGGGGGGTGAGGGTGGGGGTGGGGAGTGGTGGTCGCTGCCTTCCCGGAGGCTGTGGGCCATCAACAAAGCCGGGGCAGTGGTGCCTTCAGAAACGGGAGGCGGCCTGGAGTATTTTCTGAGGATAAAGAGCCTCACAATTATGTCTAGGAAAGCTTTCTGCTGCTTGGGACTCTTGACGTCTGCTCTGTCATCTGCGTATCACTTCCTACTTCCTACTGAGAGTGTATTCTTCAGCGGCAAGCGACTTTTGTCAGTTCTCCACGTGACTGAGAGCCCCAGGAGAGCAGGGCTGGGCGGTCTTGTACCCCGCTGCATCCCCACTGCCTGGGACACAGTAGGCACTCGACACAGATCTACCGAATAAAAGGAATATTCATACGAAGCATATACATATAACATTTTGTGGCATCAGGTTGCTGCTGTGGAGATGGTCGTGTTTGCCCCATTACTTAGGTTTTCTTTTTTTCAGCATTTCCCCCCGTCATTCCAAGTCTTTGAGCATATCCTTTCTAACAGCTATGTCGTAGTCCGTGACATTGACACGACATCGTCTGTACTTTGTTCGCCCTACCCCTCCTCATCTTTATCCAATTGTAAGGGTGGGAGATCAACAAGGAGACAGGAAAAGGAGGGGGAGGGCTTTCCTGATGGAAGGCAGGACCGGGCAAGGGCGCTGTGGGTGTGGGGTGAGGGGATATGAGCAAAATCTTAAGAGTGTTGGGTTCAGGAGTGGCGTCTAGAAGGCTACGCGGCTGGGGAATCTGGTGCCCGGTGGTGTGTTGGTAAACTGACCCTACCACCCCCCACCCCCTGCCTTGTAGCATTTGCCGGTTTCCATGGGGGTAAATTCTCCGGCCATGGACGGTGTCACGTTCCCACTGTGGCATTGCTGAACACCGAGGTAGAAAGCCATGGGCACAGCCATCCTTGACCTTGGGATCTCTCGATCAGATTTCTCAGCTGAGATGCAAAGCCCCAGATTCTTCCTGCACAGCAGCCTGGAGCCGTGGTGGCTACTGAGGTGTGGTTGCTCCATCCGTCCCTGGAATTCGGGGTGGGGCCTGGTGTTCCACTTCGGGGAGCTCGGTGTCAGGCACAGCCGTGGGTTCAGGATGTCCTACTATGGCCATGACTCTTACTGAGCCCTTGCTGTATGCCAGGGTGTGTTGAATATCTGACTTTTTCTTCATCCCATCCTCACACCCAGGAGATGAGGTGGGTGCTGTTATTATCCCCAATTTACAGACAAGGAAACCGAGGCACCCAGCTCATAAGTGTAGGTGCCACGATTCAGTCCCAAGTTGGCTTGGCTGGATGCTAGAACCTCTGCTCTTAACCCCTGAGCTCAGCATCTCCTGCCACTGAAGGTGTTCTGCAGCTCTTGTGAGCATCCCAGGGGTGCTAGGCTAGGTGGAGAGCTGGCAAGAAGATGACCATGGGTTTGTCTTTAAGGGCTTCGAGTAAGGGGAAAGAGAGGAGGCTGACCATTTCTTGAGCACCTACTATGTGTCAGAAATGATGCCAGGTGTCTTACATTGCCTCTGGATCAACTCTCACAACAACCCTTGAGAAAAGTGAGACCCTTCCCACATGACAGCCCAGGCTTGGGTGTTCATGAGCCCACCTTCCCCTCCCCGAGCTGGGTAGCCCCCAGCAGGTCACACTCCTCTCCGCCTCCTTCACCCTTTGGTCCCTGACGGGAGATGCCCTGGGAGACCTCAAACCCTCTGCCAGTTTCAAGTCAAAGCTTCTCAGAACAACAGGAAGTGGCCAAGCCATTCGGAAAGTTTGAGGACTGTGGCCACAGCCCCAGACGCATTTCAGGGTCCAAATCCGGTTATTGGACAAATGCCAAAGCCAGCTCCCTGGAGGCCTGGCTGGCACATTCCATAGCCTTCACAACCGTCCTGGGGGCCTGGGGGCCTGGGGAGGGGCACCTGGGAATGCGACTTCCTGCTCAGCTCTGGAAGACTGGCCAAGTTGGCTGGTGGCGGTTTGGCTGGCATCCCAGGTGGCCCCAGGACCCGGCCCCTCAGGTTCCATCAGGGGTCTCTGGCGGCCAGACAGCCTATCTGAGATCTCTGCAGGATCTCAGAAGAAAAAGGGTTAGCCAAAAGCTCTCACCTAGGTGGGGGTGGGAAAGGGACAGGGCGCCTATCTTGAAGTAGCATGCACTTAGCAAGTACCGTTTTCCCCTGGTAAGGAATCGGGGGCTGACTAGTAAGGCACCTGGAGGGGCTGGTGTTTAACACTCCCCTGGGGCTACCGCGGTTCTGGATTTGACCCTGGATCACCTCTCGTACCCTGCTGAAGGATGCTGCAATACTTCTAAGCCTTGGGGCCAGCCCTGCTAGACCCATATCCCAGATGGGGTAACTGAGGCCCAGTCTTTGGAAGTTGGAGGACTCAGCAGCTAGCCGACAGCTGGTGAGAGAACTCCAGGGATCAGAATCCCTTACCAGCTTGGCTGGAGTGCTTGCTGGGAAGTCAAGGAGGGAGCTTGGGAGGCCGACCACTAGCTACTCCTGTGGCTGTTTCAGGCTCTCCTGGTCCTGCCGGTCTGGGCGTCGGCTGTGGTAATCATTCGGCTGGGGCCTTCCTTCCCATTGGTGCCCAGCCCTGGGCTGACCGAAGTGAGTCAGGCTTGGTGCCAGTTCTTCCAAGAACTCTTAGGCGGGTAAACAACAAACTCACGGGGAGAAATAGTGTAAGGATCTGCCCTGGGACAGGCTCTTCCTGTAGCATTGTTTCAGATGTGTTTGTCAAATTCCAAGTTTTGACACTTGAAAAATGTAGAACCCTGGAGCTGAGGAACCGAGAAAAAGAGAAGAAAACCTCTGTCTGGGGTGGAAGGGCATCTTGGGAGACTTCCTAGGCGAGGTGATGTTTGAGTTATGCCTCGAAGGACAATAATAATAATAACAATAACAATAATAATAATATCAAACACTTTCTATAAACTTCTTATGTGCCTGTGACTGTTCTGGGACCTATATCTGCTTCTTTCATATCTGCTTTATCTCATCGAATTCTCTCAAAACCCTATGAGCAAAATACTACGTTATTCCTATTGAACAGATGAGGAAAGCAAGCCAAGGCACAGAGAGGTTAAGTGATTTGCTCAAGACCACACAGCTAGCAAGAGGTAGAGTCAGGATTCAAATCCAGGAAGGCAAGCCAGTCACTGCCTGAGGCCTTCCCTGAGCTATCTAATCCCTCTGAACCCGTTTCTTTATCCATAAAATGGGGGCGATAGTGCAAGAGTACTTAGTGCGTAGAATTATGGTGAGGACAAAGACGATACAATCCCCGGAAGCCGCTTAGAGCAGTGCCTGGCACACAGTAAGTGTTCAAACAGTTGTAGATGACTTCTGTCACCGCCGTCGTGGTTATCTTCAGGCCTCCCCTCCCCCTCCGGCCGCGGCCGCCTCCCCCGCAGTGCCAGCCCGTGACGTGGGAGCTGCCGCTCGCACAGTCTGGGTTTAATTGGAAACTAAACGAGGAGGAAGGGGATGTTCGGGGCCCCTCCCTTGACTCTGAACCGACCCCCTCCCCATCCCCGCCCGGGAATGTGCGACTCCTTCTTTAGCGACGCCTCCCGCGGACCGCGGGTACTGCTCCCGCACAGGGCACGGAGCTGGGACCGAGGAGGCGGCGCCGGGATGGGAGGCAGGGGAGGGCCGGGGAGGTGCGACTGTGCTGGAGGGAGGGCAGGCAGGGGACATGCTGGGTCTTCTGAGCCCCATGCCAGCTCACCACGAGCCAGCGGCCGTGCCCGCCACGGCCGTGGGCCGCTCCCCACCTGACAGTCCCAGCGCGCCCAGGTCCCCGCGGCCCGGGCGGTCGGGCGCGCTTGGCTGGGGTGCCGGCAGAGGGCGCGCGAGGGGGCCCGGGGACGGGCGGGGGACACGCGGAGGCGGGATTGGGGGGAGGGCCCTGGGCTGCCCCTCCCGCCCCCTGCCCGCCCACCCGGAGCTCCAGACTAGGAGGCAAGAGCGGCGGGTGCCCCCTGCGCGCTCTGCCTCCTCCGCGCACGCTCCTACCTGTAGAACCCGAGGGGCTCCCCGGCTCGCCGGACACCTATTCTTTCTCCTCCGGAAACCTCCCGCCTAGCAACCCGCGTCTCGCATAGGCGGCTCTGGGACCCCGGGACGGGGCGCCAGGCTCGCAGCTGGTGACATGTAGACGCGCCCTCCGCGGTCCAGCCTCGGCACCTGGGCACCCTTCTGCCCGTAAAGTTTGGGGCTGGGCGCCATGGCCAAGAGCAGCTCCCTGAACGTCCGCGTGGTGGAGGGCCGGGCGCTGCCCGCCAAGGACGTGTGAGTACCCCCGGGCGAGTCGCGGGTGAGGGGCGCACCGAACATGGGATGGGGCCGGGGTCGCCCTTTCCGCGTGCCGGAGAGGGTCGGTGAGGTGGGCAGGGGGTTCTTGTCTAAGACACAGTGTTGTTGCAGATCCGCCTTCACGGGGCTAAAACCCCATGCCCGTGGCTGTCCTAGTGGAAAGGGGCGCCCAGACTTAGCAGATGCGCCACCCTGCCCCCCGGAAGGGGGCTGTCTTTGTTCCTAGGATGTACTAAAGGGGATTGGAGAGTCGGATTTTGTTGGAGCTGGGGAGGGCATGGGGGGGGGTCCTCTTCCTTAGTTCAGGCAGGGTGGGTGCCTATCAAAAGAACCCTGGGAAGAAGGCCCAGAGCGCCGGTTGGCCTCAGCATTCCTCTGTGTGCATCTGGTGTTTAGGTTCAAAGACATCATCAGGTGGCCCACCAGCCAGGCCTGGGGGAAAATGGGGTCCTCTGGACCCAGAGCCCTGAGCTCCCCATCGAGGAGCTCCCTGTGTGGCCTTCCCTGAATGCTGAGTCTCTTGAAGAGCCCCCCCCCCCCCCGCCACGGTAGCACCCTCTCCAGCCAGATGTGATGGGGCTGGAGGACCCTTGGGCTCCTGTTGGTACCAGTCCTTGGCTCTGCTTCCTCCAGGGCTGAGTCAGCAGTTGCCGAATCAGCAGAATGGCAGGAGGGGTCCCCCTCCTGCTTGGCCTGGAGCCCAGAAGGGGCTGTGAGGTGTCAGCACCTGGGACAGGTGTGGGATCCTTGGCAGGCCATCAGCTGTGTGACCTTGAACATGGTCCTCTTGGATCTCGATTTCCCACCTGGACAATGGGAGCTCTGGACAGGAGCCACCCAGCCCAGAGCAGCTGTGGGGGGTGGAGAACCTGTTAGGATTTACCCCATGGCCAGGGTGAGTAGAAATCTGGATTCTGAGCCTTTACCCAAGTTGAGATGAGGGCTTAGATATGCCCTGACTCCCCCAGCTGTGGGTCCCCAGTGAGGAGTCTCCTGCCTTTGATTTTATGAACCTCGCCCCTCCCCAACCCTGGGCTGCCGAGAGCAGTTTTAGCTTCCCCTCATCCTCGTCAGCTACCCCAAATAAACATGTACCTGGGATAGAAGCAGAGCACTTGCTGTGTGAATGCAACATCTGGACAAGCCCCTGCTTCCCTCTTCTGGGACACCCTCTCAGAGCCTCTGAGAATGACATTCTGGAACTGTTGGGGCAGTGAGGCCAGGAATTGGGGCCTGGAAACTGCCGGAGGGCTGAGGGGGAGCCCCTCCAGAAATCAGGTTTCCATCTCCTGGTCCTGGGTGAGGGCCATGAGGGAGTGGTGGGCGCTGCCCTTGGCCCTGGACACAGCTCACGGGGTGGACATGGCTTGTAGGGTGGACATGGCTTGAGGGGCTCCTTCTGCCTCTCCTGCAGAGGGAGTTAACTCATACCTGGTTCCTACACCTCTTGGCCACCCTTTCTCCCCCAAGTTCTTGGGCCAAGGTGAGCCCCAGAGCAAGGATGGGAAGGAGTCACTAAGCCCTAGTTGAGCCACCCTGCCTCAGTTCCCTAGCTGTTGGCTCCCTTCTTCAGAGGGGCTGTCCTCAGAGCCTGCTGGGATCTTCGCATCCATGGAGACTCTTAGATGGGGGCGTGTTCTCTCTCTGGTCTCCTAAGGGAAAGGGCCCAGACTCGTCCTGAAGCCTTGTCAGGTTTGAGGGGGGGTCTGACCTGACTCTGGAGGAGGCCTCCACTGACAATTTTTGAGTATTACTCTTATTAATAATAGCAGCTGTAAGTCGTTCCAGGGCTTACTCTGGGCCAGGTCCTATGGTCCTATGAGCATTTCCATTTTTAAATAGGGGAAACAGGCCCAGAGAGGCAAAGTCACTTGCCCAAGGTCACACAGCTGGGATTTGAGCCCTGACTGCTCCCATGAATAAACCACACTGGGCAGGCAGTGGCTGAGGGGCCTTCTTTCCCACACTTGAGTTGGGGCAGGGCCCATGGGAGAGGTCAAGGGTCTGGAGAGACTGAGGGTCTTCAGGGGTCACCCCTCCTGCTACTGCTGCCTCCTACCTGATGGGAGCCTGATAAGGCCCTTGTGCGTCAGAGCTGTGGAGCCGATGAGCGAGCTTGGCTCCCAAGGGGGGCCCCAGGGTCAGGCCTGGTGGACGGAGGGGGGCGTGTCTCCCAGCTCTTTGCTAGTGGGATCCCAACCAATCTTTCTCCACATCTGCCGTCGGGGAAACTGAGGAACGGGACCGTACCTAAAAGAGGCTCAGGGATAAGAGAACCCAGCCAGAGAAATGAGATATAGGGGTTCCCCAGCCACGGGCATCCCGGGACATAGAGCCAAATTAGGAAACTGAGGCTCCCAGGGTTACTCAGCCCAGTGGGTCTGAGATAGATTCAGAAGGGGTAAGTGAGGCCTAGGGCACTACTCAGAAGGGGGTTCAGTGGTAGAACCCAGAAAAGAATTCAGGGACACAAGCCACCACCCAGGCTGAGGTGTTCAGGGATAGAGGCCAGATGGGGAAATGGAGGCCCTGGAGCACCCACACAGAGGGAGCTGAGGGCACGGGTCCAGAGGAGAAACTGAGGCACAAGGAAGGACTCATCCAGCAGACAAGGCTCAGATTGCAGCTGGCTGCTGGTGCCAATACCCCCTTCCCTGAAATCCTGTGGCATCCGTGGATTGGTGACTGATTGGAGGTGACAGAGAGGGTGGGGGTGGAACATCAAAAGAGGGGGCCACTTGGGGAGAGCATTGTGAGCTGTGGTGGAGGTGACACTGGTTAAGGGCATGTGTGCTGAGCCCCATAGACCTGGGTTTGAATCCCAACTCAGGAAGGGGGTTGTGAGAAAGAAGATACAGGTCTTCCTCCAAGGAGCTCACAGTTCAGAAGTTTGAGGGAGCCAGAGAGACAGACACTAAACAGAGAGAGAAACAGGGAGCAAGATGCTTTCAGGTGCCCAGAGGGATCAGAGGTCGATTTTACAAAGGACAGAGGTGGTCAGGGATGGCCTCTCTGAAGAGGTGACTTTGGGGCTGAGGTTTGAATAACGGGACTGAGGCAGCCATGACAAGATCAGGGACAGAGTGTCTTAGGCAATTGCAACAGCGAAGGCAAAGGCCCTGAGGCTGGACTGAGCTTGGTGGAAGACAAAGGAGGCCTGTGCGATGGGACAGAGGCGAGATGAGGACCCTGGTGGACAGCTCGGGATGGGGCTGGTAACTCTTATTACGAAGGGGGGATGGAGCTGGCTTTGGTTGGCTCATGGCTCATGCCTCCTCAAGGGGCTGCTGTTGGTTGTTGTTTTGAGATCTGGGTACCCTGGTCTGTACCAGCAGAGGTGCAGCCCCACTGGGCTGAGCATCGGGAGTCCCCCCACCCCCCGCCAGGGAAAGTCCCGTGGAAATGAAAAGCTGGTGGGCAATGCTTTCCCCAGAGGGTAGTGTTAAGGCTCCCGGAGGAGAGCTCTGGGGCTGGCCCGTGATGCATCCCACCATGCATTTTCTCCTTTAGTTCCTCCAGCCACCCCCCCCAACCCCCGGGAGATGTGTGTAAACATTATAGAGAGGAAAACCTAGCACCCACAGAGAGGACGGGGCGTCTGGGTTCCACAGCTAGCAGGCAGTAACACTGGGATGCCTCTCCAGCTTACGGGCTTCCTGGGACCAGCACTGGGAACTTTCTGGCCTCATGCCTCAATGTTCTGTTTCTACGGGTGGAGAGCCTGTGCATGGGGGTCGGGCAAGCAGTGGGTGGGCTGTGCACCCATGACATCTGCTGGTCCCCCGAGGTTCTGCCTCTTAGCCCGACTTGCTGTGTGACCCTGGGCCAGTCCCCTCCCCTCTCTGGGCCACAGTTGCCCTTATCTGTACAAAGTGAGGGTGGATTGGGACCTCCACTCATGGCTGCCCTCTCAACCTCCCTCCTGAACGTCCTCCTCCTGCAGGTCTGGGAGCAGTGACCCCTACTGCATCGTGAAGGTGGATGACGAGGTGGTGGCCAGGTGAGGAGTGGAGAGGCCAGGCCTGGGGAAAGAGGAACAGGGCGGGGGCTGGAGGAGGAGCTCCTTCTAGACCTGGGGAGTCCAGACACAAGATTTCACGTTGAAAAGGGGGGCCAGGCGGCGGTAATGCTTATGCCAAGGGTGGACGTGTGGGGCTGACAGTGACTGCTTTGTGCTTTGGCCCCTCTGGGGACAGACAGCTGGGGCTGTCCGCTCCTCTCCCCATCCTGCCCCACCGACTGGTGGACACCTTCCCCCTGGACCAGATGATGTCATGGGTGCACATGTGCCGGTGTCCTGGGGCTGACTCAGCGGCTGCCAACCTCCCATAGTGGCCTCCCCGGAGGCGGGCATCTCACGCTTGGCTGGACTGGCTGGTTCCGGGCCTGCTGGGTGCTGCGGGCACCGGGGCGTGCGTGCGTGTGTGCGTGCGCGTGTGCGTGTGTGCGCGCGCACGCGCACATGCGTGCCCCGCTGGGCCTGCCTGTGAGTGTGTGGGGGGGTGTTGGAGGGCTGATGTGAATGCCTGTGACCACGTGTGCGTGTCTCTGGGGTGTGCGGCTCACAGGCTCACATTGTGTACCAGTGGTGTGTGTGTGTGTGTGTGTGTGTGTGTGTGTGTGCGCACACCCCTGGGCTGCCCTGCATACACAGGTGAGCACCAGTGTCTGCTTGTTTGGGTACACAGACGCCATCGTGAACACAAGTGAGGACGTGAGGGTGTTTGATGAGTGAAAGAGTTTGGGCGGGGGTGGAGGGATGCGGGGCTGGGCCGTGGTTGGCTCCCGCCCGCCCCCGCAGGCCTGAGCGGTGTGGGTGGGCAGGTGGGCGGGTGGCTGAGGCCCGGGTTCCTATGGAGACAGCCGGATTCAGGATGCTTCTGGTGCTGGTTCCGGTCCAGATGGGCTGGGAGTGGGGGCTGGGGAACCCCATGGGGGAGTGTCAGCCTGCAGCACCCCAGCTGACCCCCTCCATTGTTCTCTATGCTCATGCTGCCCCCTCCCCACATGCTATGATACCACCCCCAAACCCACAGAGAGATTTTCTGTGTGATCCCAGGCTGCTGTCTGCCCAACTCTGGGCTCTGAAGAGGGACTTCCAGCTGGGAAAAGGCCAGGACAGGGGGAAGAGGGTGTTTGGGAAGAAGGGTCCATCTGACGGTGATGCCCTGCGCTGGGGGAGAGGGCAGAGGGTGCATCTCTGTGTGCCTGTGTATGTACATGTTCACTCTCTTTGTTGGGGAAGAGTGTGGGGAAAGGGAAGAAAGGAGTGGCAGGTGTATGATCCAGTTCTGCAGCCATAGATTTGGGTGTGTCTTCATTGGGCAAAGTAGGTTCTTCGTTCCCTGCTGGGTAAAGGGAAGTGCATCTGCAGGGGTGTCGGGGTGAAGATGCTCTCTGTGTGTGTCTGTTTCTAGGCTTGCTTTGGTCCCTAACCCTTTTGTGGTTCCCTCTTGTTTCCTGAGTGCTCTGGCTCCTGCTGACTGCATGGTCTCTTGGCCCCTCACACTTCCCCATTTCCCAGCCAGCACCTTCCTGTTCCTCAGACTCAACAAGCTCACTCCTGCCTCAGGGCCTTTGCACATGCTGTGCCAGCCATCTTGTCCTCATCTTCTCGTCCCCCTTTGCCTGGTTAGCTCCTGCAGGAAGCCTTTTCTGACTCCTCCTGTCCACACCCCCAGACCCAGCCAGGTGCCACTGAGCTCACCCTAATCACGACTTCTCTCACTGTGTCATGTGTCATAAGAACTCAGGAGAGAGCACCTGCCCACTGAAGGGGGCTCTGTGGGGGCAGGGACCTGGGCACCTCTTCCTCTGATTCTCCATAGCCCACAAGACTTGGCACACAGGGTGTTTATGGAGTGAATGAGTGAATGAATGGAATTTGCATGTTTTCAGTCACTGTGCGGGGGATTCTGTGTGTGTGTATCTGCCATCTATCACTATATGTGTGTGAGTGTGTGTCTGTGGGTCTCTGTGGGTCTCTATGTGCTGGGCAACTTATTTTTGGTCTGTGTGTCTATGTGAATGTGTCTGTTTTCTCTGTGTGTATCTGTATGTGTCCATATGTAGAAACACATAGATGTGCATTTCTAGAAATTTCTGAGGATTCATATGTGTATCTGTGTATATGGGAATGTGTCTCTGGCTTTCTTGGTGTATCTGTGAGTGTCTCTCTTTTCATGTGCATCCTTTTGGGAATGTGTGTGTGTGCATGTGTGTGTATGGAGGTCTCAGGGTATGTGAGTGTTGGGGTTTCTATGTGTGTATTTGTGGGGGTTTTTTGTTTTGTTTTTTTAAGTATGCTCCACACACAGCATGGGGTCCAATGTGGGGCTTGAACTCATGACCCTGAGATCAAGACCTGAATTGAGATCAAGAGTCGGACCCTTAACTGACTGAGCCACCCAGGCGCCACTCCCTGTGTGTATTTGTGTGTATCTATGCACATCACAGATATATTTGTGCAGTTTGTGTGTGTGTGTGTGTCTGCCACCTGTGTGGCCCAAGGGTCCCCAGCCCCCTGTGCCCTTTTTACAGGACAGCAACTGTCTGGCGGAGCCTGAGCCCCTTCTGGGGGGAGGAGTACACCATACACCTGCCCCTGGATTTCCACCATCTGGCCTTCTATGTGCTGGACGAGGATACAGTGGGGTGTGTGTACTGGGGACCCATGCTTGGGCACCTGGGGGAAGGCGGGATGCCCCGAAGCAAAGTATCCATCCAGCCGGCCCTTGATGCCTGCTCCCTCGACTTAATGACTCGGACCCTCACTGCCTACCTTTCCACAGGCACGACGACATCATTGGCAAGATCTCGCTGAGCAGGGAAGCAATTGCAGCCGACCCCCGAGGTGGGCGAGGGGCAGCGACCTTCAGCTGGGCAGAGGGAAATAGGGGTGGCCATGCCCAGGTTGGGCATTTGCAAGCATGTAGCAAGTGGCAGGGGAAGCACAGAGTCTTCAGTAGAAAATTATTTCAGTTGTTGATTTCTCTCTCTCTCTCTCTCTCTTTTTTTTTTTTTTTTTTGGAAGAGAGAGAGTGAGAGAGAATGCATGTGCCCGTGCAGGGTGAGGGAAGGGCAGAGGGAGAGGGAGAGGGAGAGGGAGAATTTTAAGCAGGTTCCTTGCTGGGCGTGGAGCCTGACACTGGGCTCAATCTCATGACCCGGAGATCATGACCTGAGCTGAAACCAAGAGTCTGATGCTTAACTGACTGAGCCACCCAGGCGCCCCATCAGTTGTTGATTTAAAAAAAATTTTTTAGGGGCGCCTGGGTGGCTCAGTTGGTTGAGCGACTGCCTTCGGCTCGGGTCATGATCCTGGAGTCCCGGGATCGAGTCCCGCGTCGGGCTCCCTGCTCGGCGGGGAGTTTGCTTCTCCCTCTGACCCTCCTCCCTCTCGTGCTTTCTATCTCTCATTCTCTCTCTCTCAAATAAATAAATAAAATCTTAAAAAAAAATTTTTTTTAAATTTAGTTTTTTCATTGAGTAGTTAATTACTTTACATAGTTCAATATTCAAAAGATATAATTAGTGGGGGAAACTGTCCCTCTTAACCTAACTATTCCATTTTCGTTTTCAAGGTTGTGTTTCTTGTCTGTCCTTCTAGAGATATTTTATTTTATTTTATTTTTTAAGATTTTATTTATTTATTTGAGAGAGAGCAGAAGCAGGGGGAGCTGCAGAGGGAGGGGGAGCTGCTGAGCAGGGAGCCTGACATGGGGCTGGATCCCAGGACCCTGGGATCGTGACGTGAGCCAAAGGCAGACGCTTAACCGACTGAGCCACCCAGGCGCCCCTAGAGATATTTTAAATAGGTTTATTTATTCCAAGTGCTTTACATGAACCAATTCATTTAATTATCATAATAACCCTGGGAGGCAGGTACTCTTATTCTGCCCGCTCCATAGGTGAACACCCTGAGGCACAGGGGATTGGTTCTATGGCTTGCCCTAGATCACAAAGTTATTAAGTGGGATGGCCAGGATTTGAATTGAACCAAGATTGTCTACCTCCATCCAGTCTGCGCTCTTAACACAGCACTGTATGTGTTTTGTTCTCTGCTCATAGGAATGGCAGCCGGTTATACTCATTGTTCTCTACCTTGCCTTTCACATCACCACATACCTTGGAGATCTTTCCATATTGGTGCCCCAAGAGCTTCCACTTTCTTTGACCTTTGACTTCATGGCACTCCACTGTGTGGATATATCCTCATTTATTTGGCTGGTTCCCTACTGATGGGCACTTGGGTAAACCAACCAAGTTTGAACTCTCCCGAGTTCAAACAATACAGCCATGAATAGCCTTGTACAAATGTGATTTCACACATGTGCAAGCTATATTAATCAGTCTGATAAATTCCTAGAAGTATATTTGTCACAGAGTATCCATATTAGCACATTAGAGAGTTATTGCTAAGTTACCCTCTATGGAGGCGGTAACAATTTGCCCACCCTATAAGTTTGCCAGCAATTACCAAACTCTTTGATCTTGTATCTGAGAGGTAAAAAATTGCCTCTTTGTGTAGGTTATTTTGTATTTCTCTATGAATGAGATTGAAAGCCTCTTTACATATTTAAGAGTCACTTTGTTTCCTTTTTTGTTTGTTGTTTATTTACATTGTATGTGCATTGCCCCCCACTGGGTTGTTTGGCTTTTCTTATTGATTTATAGGAGCTCTTTACATATTAGGTAAATTTAACTCTGTCATATTAGCTGCAAATAGCTTTTCTCCCTTTGTCACTTATGTTTTTGCTTATCATTTTTTCTATGTATAAAATTTATTTCTTTTTCTCTAGTTAACTTCATCTTTTTGTTTTTATGGCTCTTGATTTTCTGTGATACTTAAAAAGGCCTTCCCAACTCTAAGATAAAATTTTTTTACATGATTTCTTCTTGCAACAATTTGTTTTCCTTTTTACATTCAAGTCTTTGAGCTACTTGGAATTTATCCAGATTCAAGGTATGGAGAGGGATTGAACCTTATTACTTTTTGTCTAGATGAGTACTAATTGTCTCAATGTCAATAACTGAATAATGTATTTTTTCATCAGTGGGGATTAGTTGAAAACCTATATGCTAATCATCATAATCATTGCTCCTATTTAATGAGGGCTTACTATGTGCCAGGCATGATGCTAAGCACTTTATATTTAGTCTTCACAACACCAAGTGAAGTGTGCACTAGAATGATCTTGAATTTATGGCTGATGGGAAATGAGGTTTGGAGAGGTGAAGGCAATTGCCCCTCCTAGAAGTTGCAGAGTTGGGAGTTGAGTCCAGGCTGCATCTGCTTCCAAAGTCTGGGTTTTCATCCTGTCCACCAAGCTGTACCCATTGTGCCTCAAACATCCACCCAAGGGGGTGGAATTAGATGAATGAAGTATGAGGCCAAATTTTAAGGAGCTTATGGGCCAGATAGAAACACAAAACACGTTCACACACAAGCAAGGAGCAAGAAAAAAAGGGAAACTGTCCATGTGTCTGAATGTTTTTTTAAGCAGGACAGGAAGGTGGGGGTGGAGGCATGTGGAATATCACTGGTACGACAGTGGTTTTGGATAAGAGGGCAGTGAGGGCTAGTGTAGTCCAGGAAGGTTTCCTGGATGAAGGGGAATGAGTTGGTTCTTAAAGGTACCTCAGCAAAGACACTAAGGTGTGTCTCTGTAGATTCTCTTCTAGTGTCAGGCATAGGCCAGGCCAGGTGGAGCACTGGGTGGGTCACTATTGGAGAAGGCTGTAGGTGCCAGCCTAGAGTCTGCACTTTCTCCTGGAGGCATTGGGGAGCCGCTGATGGTCCTTGAGCAAGACAGTGAAGAGAGTAGAGCCATTATTATCAGAAGATGGAGTGACAGGAAAGATTAGATACATTTTCAGAAGATCTCTGTGCTGCTTTATGGATACTGGATGACAGCGGAACAGGAGTGCATGTGGGAGATCAATTAGGAGTCTGTTGCCGTGGTCAAGTGGGAGGAAGCTGATGGCATCCTGGAATTGGGGGTAGCAGTGAAGACAGAGAGAGGTGAGGTGGGACTATACTTCATCACACACACAAGGAAGTGGGCCACCATGAGCAAGAGTCAGCAGACACAATAACCACCAGATTTGAACCCATGAAGATTTTAGAGTTTATTACTTATGATATACAGAATTTTAAAAGGAATAAAATATTTAAATAAATAGAAATGTAATCACCAGAAAGGGCCAGCAATAATCATAATAAAGTAAAACAATACATTAAAAAATAGATTTGAGGGGCTCCTGGGTGGCTCATTTGTTAAGCATCTGCCTTCGGCTCAGGTCATGATCCCTGGGTCCTGGGATCGAGCCCCGCTTCAGGCTCCCTGCTCCGCAGGAGGCCTGCTTCTCCCTCTCCCACTCCCGCTGCTTGTGTTCTCTCGCTGTGTCTCTCTCTGTCAAATAAATAAATAATATCTTAAAAAAAATAGATCTGAAAAAGAACCAAATCGAACTTTTAGAGATAAAAAGTAGTCACTGAAATTGAAAACTGAGTGGCTGAGTTCAACAGCACATCATTTGGAGCTGAAGAGAGAATTAGTGAGCTGGAAGAGAGATCTGAAGAAATTATTTAGACTTTAGCCCGGAGACATAAGAAGGAAAATATGAAAGAGAAGTTCAGAGACATAGAAAATTACTGAGAAGGTCTAATATCCATTTAATTGGAGTCCTAGGGAGGAAAGAATAGAAAAAATAAGGGAGAATGTGTGGGGCTCTCAGCGGGTCAGGGCAGCCCCATGCCCGTTGCCATGTCCCGGAACCTGCGCACTGTGCTCATCTTCGGAAGCTTCATCTCCCCAGTTGGTGCCGCCCTCTACCCCATCTACTTCTGGCCCCTAATGCGGCTAGAGGAGTACCAGAAGGAGCAAGTCATAAATCGAGCTGGTATTATTCAAGAAGATGTGCAGCCACCAGGGTTAAAAGTGTGGTGATCTCAGGACCCTTTACCACTCTTAAAAATTTGTGAGGACCCCGAAGTGGGTAATACCTGTAGGTACTATATTAGAAATTAAGACAAAATTTTAAAATGTTTATTAATTTACTTAAGAATATCAATAACAAACCCATATAGAGTAATATGACATATTTTTGTGTGAAAAATTTGTTTTCCAAGATAAAAAATAATTCGCAAATTTCAAAAAAAAAAAAGAAAAAATAAGGGAGAGGAAGTGATACAAAAATTGATGACCTGGAATTTTCCAGAACTCAAGGAAGGACATGATTCCATAATTAGAAATAGCACAACCTGCAGTAAGCAGGATTAAAGAAAAAAAAAAATCCTTACCCACCTATGTGGTGAAACTGTAGAACATCAAACTCATAGTCCTTAAAATTAAAGAGAAAAGATACACCATTGACACAAGATCAGTTATCAGGATGAAATGACTTCCCAACAGCTACAATGGAAGCTAGAAATCAGTGGATGATATCTTCCAAGTGTTGAGAGAAATGAAGGGGGTAGGCAGAGGGAGGTTGACATTGACTTGACTGATTCCCTCAGGGAGAACTACCCCCTGCCGGGTGAGAGGCTCAGAGGAAGGAATGCCCAACATTTTCGTGAGGGGAGAGTATGTTGAGACTAAATGATGGGAGGGTTTTGTATATTAGAGCGAAGAGTGAGATAGTGCAGGGTGAAGGGCACTGGACTATACTGCTCACATTCAAATCCCAGCTCTACCACTTACTAGCTGTGGGAACATGGGCAAAGCTCTTCCTTCACTGTGCCTCATTTTCCTCCTCTGGAAGTGTGGATAATTACAGTACCTCCATCAGAAGGCTAACATGAGAAGTCCATGACTTAATACATATTTAATGTTAATTGAATTTTTAAGTTAACACAATGCCACTGTCTGGTAGGTACTTAATAAATGTTAGCACCTGTACCTTCCAGGAATTGATAGCTGGATCAACCTGAGCCGTGTGGACCCAGATGCAGAGGTTCAGGGTGAGATCTGCTTGGATGTACAGATGCTGGAGGATGCACGGGGCCGTTGTCTTCGTTGTCATGTGCTCCAGGCCAGGTATGGTCATGATGGGGGATGGTGTGGGGTTGGTCTGAGAATGAGCAAGAGTTGGCTGGATTCTCCCAGCTGTTTTGGCTTTTGAGGCCACGTCACTCCTGGGGCACTTCTGGGCCCACAGCCAGGATCCCTTGTAGGCAAACAGTCCAAGTTCACCAGGTTTGCAAGTTCCTGGGGTCAGAGCACAAGCAAAATCCTTGCTGGGTCCCCAGTGACCAGCAACCAAAGGTCAGACACTCAGAATGGCCAAAGTGTGGAGGTGTATTAATCAAATTGTAAGTGATAGATACCCAATTCACACTAGCTTAAGCAGATGGGCTTATATGAATGATATGCAGCTTCAGGCATGGCTGGATCCAGGTGCTCAAACAGTGACATCAGGAATCTGTAGACATCGACTTCTTGGTTATCTTTTGTGTTAGCTTCATTCTCAGGCAGTCTCTCTCCAGGTGTGGGCAAAGATGACCCCAGCAGTCCCAAGATGGCATCCTACCAACTTGGCAGGTCCAATTGAAAAAGAAATTTCCTTCATCATTTCCAACTAATGTCCTAGGACTGATTCTTATTGGCCCAATTTGGGGCACATACCTATCTCTGAACCAATTACATGGACTCTGTTGGGTCAGGCCTGAGTCCCACACCCACTCCTGGAGTGAAGAGAGGAATCAGCCTACCTAAGCTATGTGAGCTGGGAGTGTGAGAAAGGGGCAGGTCCTGTCCCAAAGAAACAGGAGAAGGAAGTTGGATGCAGGATCAGCAAAACCCCAGAGGTTACCCTCTAGGAGCACCAGCTTGTGGGATATCCATCTTCCCTCCTGCCTATTTATTGCTATGTAATTCCCTCCTCTCTTCCTCAGCTCCCCCATCATTCTGCTTCCTTAAATACTCCCATCCCTTTCCCCCTCTCATCTCTCATCTTGTCTTTCTGCCTTGTTTTCACACCTTACTCCCCCAACCCTCACTTTTAGACCAGTCCTCACTCAGGTTGGGGAGGTTCGCTATTTCTGGTTTGCTGTGTGACCTTAAAGCCTTTTCTTGCCCTCTCTGTGCCTCTCCCACCGTCTCCAGATCTCTGTCTCCAGCTGGGATTCTCTGGAGTCTGGATGGAGTAGCAGGGTGGCAGAGGACAGGCAAAAGGACTGCACATGGGACAGGAGGCTCCTCATCTGCTTTGTGCCAGTGGCCTCCTCCCCAGCCACAAGGCTGTGCAGGATCCTTGCAAGCAGGAGAGGGACTGATTGCTGTCGCTTAGCAACTGGGCTGGCTCCTAGGAAACCAAAGAAGGCTTTGGATGCCAAGCAGGGGTGGAAGAGGAAGCAAGCAGCCCCTGGTGGGGGGCTGTCACTGGGTTTGGGGGACCTCAGGAAGGAGGGGTTGGGGAAACTGACTGAGGTGAGGCTTTTGGGTTGTCATGGCAACAAGAGGCAGGGGGTCCTTGCTTCAAGCCTTTTCTTGGGTCCTACGCAGGGTGTGGATATGAGCATTTGTTGAATGAATGAATGAATGAATGAATGAATGAACGAGCACTCCCATCTGGCCAGCTGCTATGCTAAGCCTGTTACACACATCATCTCGTTCAAGCCTTGGCCCTGTGAGGTTTGATCTGTTATTATTTCTATTTTCCAGATGAGGACACTGAGACTCGGGGTGGTGAAGGGACTTTTCCCAGTGTCACCCAGCCAATGAGTGGTGGAGCCAGGCTTTGAACCCTGGCATCTGGTCTCCTACCCAGGGCTCCAGGGAAACTGAGGCTCCCTTCCCACTCCCCACTGCATCTTCACCTCCTGGGCTTTGTGATTTAGGATTTGACCTTCTGTTGCCTCAGTTTCCTTATCTGGAAGATAGGGGCATACTAGGGCCCCCTGATAGGGTAGCACTGGTCAACAGGAAGATACTGGGCTTGGATGGGCAGGGTGAGGGGTGCTCCTTGCTGCGTCCCTACAGTGGAGGCCAGAGGCATTTGAACGGTCTATCCTGAACCCCTTTTCCAAGGTCCAGCCTGGGTCTTGGTCGTCAAGGGTCCTGCATCCCTCACGCCTTCATCTTCCGCAGGGACCTGGCCCCCCGCGATATCACCGGCACATCTGACCCATTCGCACGAGTGTTCTGGGGCAGCCAGAGCCTGGAGACATCAGTGAGTGGGGGCATGGATCGGGGGAGGGGCAGGCATGGAGGCAGGGCCTCCTCAGCTCTCCCTCACTCCCCCTCTCCCCAGACCATCAAGAAGACCCGCTTCCCACACTGGGATGAGGTGCTGGAGCTGCGGGAGATGCCGGGTGCCCCAGCCCCACTGCGCGTGGAGCTCTGGGACTGGGACATGGTGGGCAAGAATGACTTCTTGGGCATGGTAAGCACCCCCTCCCCTGACACCCTCCATGGCTCCCCACTGCCTCCAAGAGGGAAGGAGAGGGGAGATGGGCTTGCATCCTGGGATCTGGAAGGATAGATGTGAAAGCTGTCTTAGCTGGCTCCTTGGCCAGGCCTGGGCGATGGAGTCCCATTGCCTCATTTTACAGGTGAGGAGACAGAGGCTCTCCAAGGGGCAGGAACCTGCCCAAGGTCCCAGGGTGGGCCCAGATTCTCATTCTGGGGTGAGAGTACTCAGGATGACCACGTGCTAAGTGCTTCTCCAGCATAATCTCACTTACGTACTCTTCATGGCCACCCTGTGAGGCTGGGACTGTTGTCTGCATTTTATAGTTGGGGAAACCAAGGTTCATTCAGAGAAGTTGAGTGGCTTTCTCAAGGCCATATGACTAACAAAGGGCAGAGCCAGAATCTGAGTTCAGGTTTCTCTGACTCCAGAATCTCAGCCCTTAACCCCTATTCCTGGAAGCACTGGGCTCAAGGTCTTTCTCTTGGAACCTCAGTTTGCACATCTGTAAAATGGGTGTGACTGCCCCTGCCTCTCAGTGGGAATGGATGCATAGTCAGGGCTGACAGTTTTTTTTTAAAGGATGCAAGATTAGAGCAAGTTATAGGGAGGCTTGGTTCTGTACAGCCGGCAGGGCAGGCAGGTGGGGTTGTAAATGGGGTAGCCGCTTTGGAAAAGAGGCTGGCCCTTCCTCAAGTGGTTAAAGACCATCACCACATGCCCTGGCAACTCCACTCCTGGGTACGCACCAAAGAGAAATGAAAACGCATATCCACATAAAAACTCGTACATGAAGGTTCACAGCAGCGTTGTTCGTGATAGCCAAGAGTGGAAACAACCCAAATGTCCCTCCAGAGCTGAATGAATAAATACAACATGGTGTATCCTTACAATGGAATATTACTCAGCCATAAAAGAGAATGAAGTCGTGGCACCTGCTACAACGTGGATGAATCTTGGAAACATGCCAGGGGAAAGAAGCCAGTCCCCACAGATTATATGGTTTCATTTATCTGAGATGTCTGGAGTAGGTGAACGTGTCAAGACAGAAAGTAGACCAGTGGTGGCCAGGAGATGGGGGTGGGGGTGGGAGATGGGGAGTGACAGCTAATGAGCACAGGCGTTGGGGGGGCTGATAGAAAATTCTCTGAAATTGGTGGTGATGGTTGCACAACTCTGTGAGTAGACCAGAAGCCGTTGAATTACACACTTTAAATACGTGACTTGTACGGGATGCCAATTACATCTTTATAAAGTTATTTTAAAAGAGAGGGGCTGGGGCTCAGGGGCCTTCTGGACTCTCTTTAAGCTTCCAGACAGGTGCGATTTGTGTCCCCAAAAAGAGCTGAAAATGCCTTCAATCCAGATATGTGGTCTCTGGCAGCTGTGTGACCTCGGACAAGTCGCTCCATCTCCCCAAGCCTCAGTTTCCCCAACTGTAAATGAAGTGTCCCCTGGAGGCCCTCAGCGTCCTGGCAGGAGCTAGTACTTTGGGACTGGGAGAGGGAGTGTGGCTGCTCTTGTCAATGGGGTTTGGTAGGGGAGGGGAGGTGGCCCCTGGCAGGCTGCGCCTCCCCTCCTTGGGTGGGCAGTCAGAGCTTTTCTTGACCTGGGTGGGCCCTTGGGCCGGGCAAGTTCGGGTTCAGCTGAGGGTCTGCGTGTCCCCCTGCAGGTGGAGTTCCCCCCACGGGTCCTGCAGCAGAACGCACCCAGTGGCTGGTTCCGTCTCCTGCCCTTTCCCAGAGCCGAGGAGGATTCTGGGTAAATGTGGGTGCGGAGGGAGGCGGCCAGGCTGAACTCAGGTCGAGTGCCATCTTCGGCTTGCGGGCAGGTCCTGGTGGGTGCCCATGTTAGCCCACGAGCTGTCACCATGTCACTTCGTTCACTCATTGAACAAATGTCTTGTCTTACAATGTACATTTACTTATGTCCAAATGAGTTCACCTTGGACCTATCCACCTGTTTGCACCTGAACGTATCAGCTCACACTAGTCAATGTGTGTTCAGAACCCTGGGTCTTTCCACACCTGTGCACACCTGTTCACATTGTCCGTTCTTGTATACACCTTATACTGGCCACACTATTTACATTGACTTTACCTGTCCATTCCCGTGTATCCCTCTCAACATCTGTTCACATACACCCACACCTGTCCACACTTCTCCACACTTGTCTGCATCGGACTACACTACCTGCACCTGCCCCCATGGTCTGTTCACAGTGAACATAATTTTTTTTTTTTTTTACGCTGGCCACATCATTCCACACCAGCAGTATCTGTTGACTGCACTTGTCTGTTTCTGTGTATCCCTGTCAGTATCTGTTCACACCTGCCCACACTGCCCACGCCTGTTCACACCTGCCCACACCTGTCCCCGTCTGCCTTGTTTTGCTAACATCCATGCTCCTTATCTGGGTTCGCACCTGCCTCTCTTGGCCGTCCGCACCTGCGTGTACATACTTACTGCTCCCTCACCTGCGATCTGACCCCGGTCAGGGGGGCCCTGGGCGCACTGCGGCTGAAGGTGCGCCTCATCGAGGACCGCATCCTGCCCTCCTGGTATTACCAGCCGCTCACGGAGCTGCTCATGGAGTCTGTGCTGGGGCCGGCAGAGGTGGGTGCATCCATTCTACTGGGGATCTGGATGATGGCTCCCCGTGCTTCGGGCATCCCTCCCGGGGTTCTTGCTTCAGGGTCCCAGGACCCTGGGCCACCTCCCCTGTTGGCTGTCCTTGCCCAGGAGGATGCTGCTAGTCCCCTGGCTGTGCTGGAGGAGCTGACCTTGGGGGACTGCCGCCAGGACCTTGCCACCAAGTTGGTGAAGCTCTTTCTTGGCCAGGGCCAGGCTGGGCCCCTTCTGGACTATCTCACCCGGCGTGAGGTGACCCGGACCAGTGAGTTGCCTGCATGAGCCCCAGACATCACACCCCAGGGATAGGTCCACACAGGGTCTTTGAGGGAGAAACGGGGGGCTTCAGGCAGAGGTCAGGGGCTCCTATGTGTGTGGGGGGGCGGGGGGGTCCCTACACTGTGCACCAGCAGCCAACTGGGGATGCAGTCTTGGATTCAGGTGCTGGCGTTGCTCCTCTTGAGCTGTCTGACCTCAGGCCGCTCATTGAACCACTCTGGGCCCCTGGCCTGTGAATGGAGTTGATGTTGCAGTTCTACCTGATTCCTGAGGCTGGAAGAATCACGACTCCCACCTTGGGTGGGTGGGGTGAGGTGGATCCGGCCTCCAAATCCCAGCAAACACTTCCCTCTGTCCTCCCAGCTGACCCCAACACCCTCTTCCGTTCTAACTCCCTGGCATCCAAGGCAATGGAACAGTTTATGAAGGTGAGCACGCAAAGGCCTGGTGGGGTCCAGCTGCAGCTTCCTCAAGGGGACTCCTTTTCTGTGCTTACTGGGAGCCCAGAGCTTGGCTGGCCTCGGTTGGCTCAGGGTCGCTGAGCCGGGCTGCTGGTAGCTGGTGCCTGGCCTCTCCCTGAGACGCACCTGGATAGTGCCCCTGACTCCTGCTCTTGGGCATGCCTCAGCCTCGCTCTGAGCCTCTCCCCGCATGGTCCCCCTGCCCCTGGCTCGTGGGCACGCCCCCGCCTCCCCCTCAGCCCCGTCCCATGTGGTGCCCCCTGCCCTCAGCTCGTGGGCATGCCTTACCTGCACGAGGTCCTGAAGCCGGTGATTAACCGCGTCTTCGAGGAAAAGAAGTACATGGAACTGGACCCGTGCAAGATGGACCTGGGCCGCACCAGGTGAGCAATGCCTCAGGGGCGAACCCGGTTAACCCCCTGGCAGCCCCCTTGTCTGCCCAGAGCCTTGCCAGGCTGGGTCTGTGCCAACGGCCATCCCTCCCTCCGGCATGATTGCTCAGGAGCTCCGCATTGCCGCAGAAAGCCTCACTGGGAGCACCGCGATCCTCGGGCTGGGTAGTGTAGTGGTGACGGGCAGGACTCTGAAACTGAGCTCCTGGGTTCGAATCCCAGCTCTGAGGCGGGCAAGACAGACCCTACACCTGTGTGGGAACAAGAAAGAAGGGACAAGAACCTTGCAGGTAGAAAAGTGTTATTCCATCATCCACTCAACAAAACAATCGTCGAGAACCTATTGTTCAGACACTGGATGAACACTGGTCCCGAGCAGGGCGTAAGTGGATACAAATCTGTCTTCCAGGGGGAGGGAGATAGCCAACTAAAGAAGGTTATTGAAGGCGCTCAGGGGAATGGAGAGAGAGAGAGCAGGGAAGGGTTGTGGAAGCAGAGCAGGGGCTTGCAGGATTTCATAGGGTGGTCAGAGGGACAGCCTCACAGAGAAGGGGACCTTTCAGCAGAGACTTGAAGGAGATGAGGGAGGGAGGCATGCACAGATCCAGTGGAAGAGTATCCCAGGCCAGGGGAAAGAGCAAGTGCAAAGGCCCTGAGGTGGGAGAGTATGTCTGGCATGTCCCTGCTGAAAACGCACCAGACCAGGGTCCGTGATGATGTGTGGTGGGAAAGGGATGGCCTCTTTAAGGAGGGGACATTTAAGCTAACTGTGGGTGCAAGAGTGTCTCAGGCGGAGGGAAGAACATGCACGAGACTCTGTGACAGGAGTGAACTCTGCGTGTTTAAGCAGCAGTAAGAAGCTTGGCGGGAATGGGAGGAGGGGAGGTTATGGAGGGGGGATGGGAAGGTGGGTGCTTTCAGCTCAGTGGGGACTGGGGGAGGGTTTTGAGCGGACAGAGGCTGGGCTGGGAGGCACAGCCACTCTGTTTCCCCAGGAGAATCTCCTTCAAAGGCGCACCCTCAGAGGAGCACGTGCGGGACGCCAGCCTGGGGCTGCTGACCGGCTACCTGGGGCCCATCGTGGAGGCCATTGTGGGCTCTGTGGGGCGCTGCCCGCTTGCCATGCGCCTCGCCTTCAAGCAGCTGCACCAGTGCGTGGAGGAGCGCTTCCCCCAGGCGGAGCACGAGGTGGGCCACGCGTTCCCATGGAGCTGATGGGGAGACTGAGGCTGGGGAGGGGCAGTGGCTTGTCCAGGGTCACACGGAGAGGTGGAGCAGGGTGGGGACAGAGCTGGGCTGCTCACACTAAAGTACTGTGTGTCCTGTCAGAAGTGGGGACGGTATTCCTGGCAGGGTCTGGGATCCAGGGGTGGTGGTAATAGTAGTAAGAGCAGCTAACTCGATATATAGCCCTTGCCAGGGTTCAGACCGACTTGTACATACGCCTTGCCTTACCTAGTCTTTGTATCCACCCTATGGGGTGGGTACCAGTATTCTTCCATTTCCCAGAGGAAGAGGCAGAGGCCCAGAGAGATTGAGTCACATGGTCCTGGGGTAGGCAGCTGTCTAGGCAGGCTGGCTTCTGGATCGGTGCTCAAAACCACCAAATATAGAGTCTGGCACAAAGTAAGTGCTTCTTAAATGCAGCTCTTAGAGAAAGAGAGCGAGAGAACGCAAGAACGAGCGAGCACACTGGTACACAGTAGGTGCTCAGTAGCAGTCACCCGAAATAGCCTAAAAACAAATCCCTGCATGTGCCAGTGCTTTGTCACTATTGACATAAAAGTTGAGACCCCCGGTGCTGCCTCGGGCAGGTGAGGTGAATGAAGGCAGCAGTCCGGAGTGGGGCAGTAGGGAGTGGTAGGGACTGTGGCAACGGGAGCTCCCACGGCTTGTCTTAAGGGGGCAGCTCCAGACAATCAGTCATTGCCATGTAGAAATGGGGACCCAGTACTGCCAGATCGTGAGAGTTCATTTTCTAAAGCCAACATTCTGGATTTTATGTGAGGTCTCCTATTTTTTTAAATGTTGGCACTGATTCACCTAACAACAACAACAACAACACAACAACACTTTGAGCCAGTTGTTACACGTTTGCAGCTGGACTGGCCCGTGGGTTACCCATTGGAGCCCCCCTGGTTTAATGGTCAGCATCCCTTCTGGGTGGCCGTTTTTTTTTCATTATTATTTTATTTAAAGATTTTTATTTATTTGACAGAGAGAGAGAGAGACAGCAAGAGAGGGAACACAAGCAGGGGGAGTGGGAGAGGGAGAAGCAGGCTTCCCGAGGAGCAGGGAGCCTGATGCAGGGCTCGGATCATGACCCGAGCCGAAGGTAGACGCTTAACGACTGAGCCACCCAGGCGCCCCTGTTTTTTGTTTTTTTAAAGCAATTTTTTTTAAAGATTTTATTCATTTGAGAGAGAAAGAGAGAAAGCACGAGAGAGGGGAGGATCAGAGCCAGAAGCAGACTCCCCACTAAGCAGGGAGCCTGATGCAGAACTTGATCCAGGGACTCTGGGATCATGACCTGAGCTGAAGGCAGACACTTAACCGACTGAGCCACCCAGGCGCCCCCAGGTGGCGGTTTTTGTCCTACCTTAAAAATGACATCACATCAGGCTCTTAGGTAGTGCTGATGTAATAGAAACACGGACTGGGGGGTCACTTTGCAGAAAAATCTAAGACCTGCTAAATGTTGGAGATGTAACAGCTCAGTCCCTAGAGCTTGAGTTAAGAGCTCTTGATTATGCCAAACCTCTCCCCACGTTCTGTTTACCAGTGGGGAAACTGAGGCCCAGAGAGGTAAAGAGCCTTGCCCAAGGGTTGTGGACTCAAAGCGAGGCCTCTGGTCTCCCAGTGTGGGTCTCTCCCTTCTCCCCTCGGCCCCCTGCTGAGGAGTGAGCTCTGGGCCTCCAAGCTGGGATGTCGCTTGATTTACGCCCCATTTTGCCAGGCTCTCGCCTGGGCTGCAGGTGCTAAGTGGGACACAGCTGTGGCTGGGAGGTGGGAAGGGAAGCGGGGAGGCCAGCTCCCTAGACAGCCTGGCCTTTGTGGGGGACCCAGTGTGACACCCAAGTGCCCTGCAGTTCTCAGCTCCCATGGTGGGCAGAGGCCATGGTCAGGAAGCAGGGACTTTCTCAGGCCCGTGAGGGTGGATGGGGTCATGGAAACCCAGGGGAACTCCTTTCTCTGCTGCTCTGACACCTGTTCTTCCTGCTTAAGAGGGGAAGTTGAAGAGATGATGTCAAAGACTAAAATTACCCTGGAAGATGGCAGGTGCGGGGGGGGGGGGGGAGGGGCGGTGGCCTTGGGGGCAGCTCAGGTTCCAGATGAGGGCAGGTGGGGGCAGAGACCCTCCTCCTGGGCAGTGTTGGGTACCCTCTGTCGGCAGGGCTCACTGTCAGCGCACACATGCCGTAGGAAGTTGGCATGGACCCAGGGAGGGTATTGTCTCAAGTGTGAATACAACCCCTAAATAAATACTAGAGCACATTCTCGGGCTAAATATAGCTGGGCAAGTGTGAAAGGTGGGCGGGGAGTGATTCGGGGAGAGCCAGATGCATCCAGGATAAAGGCACACCCTCCCTCTGAGTTGCCTCTGCTGGTGCTGGGGGAACCAGCCTTACCTGTAGGTGGGTCAGGGCTGGGACTCACACAGGGGGCACCGCACTTTACAGTTTGTAGGAGGCAGAGTCTTGGGCTGGGGGGTGCACATAGGACAGCCTCAGGAGCCAGCCGGCCTGGGTTCACTTCTGAGCCTGTGTCCTCATCCAGAAAACAGGGACAATGGTACCTACTCCATGGGACGGTTAGTGGTTCGGATTAGTTCCTGATGCTCAGCAACCATTGCACGGTAATGAGGGTCAAATGCAGGAGAGTGTGATGAAGAGCTGAGAGCTCTAATCCTGCTTGGGTTCCAATCTTGGCTCTGCCGTTTACAGCTGTGTGGCCTTGGGCAGGTGACCTCTCTTTGGGCTTCAGTGGCCTTCTCTGTAAAATGCAGATAGAATCCCTCCTCCCAGGGTGAGTATTAACTAAACAAACGTATGGAGAGGTATCTGGTATGGTGCTATCAATATAATAAATCATAGATCGGGAGATTGAATTCTGCCTTCTCTACCCATCAGCTGTGTGACCTTGGGCAAGTCACTTGGCATCTCTGAATTTCTGCTTCCTCATCTGTAAAAGGAGAATAATGATGCTGTTTCCTTTATAGGCCTGTGCCCTTAGCACGGTGATTGGCACAAACAGATTCTGAGGATGTTGGGCTAAAGCTGATCCTGCAGGATTGGTATTGCTACTCTATTTTCCAGGTGGAGAAACTGAGGTCCAGAGAGAAAAAACCATCTTGGCAGACCAATGTGGTCTCCTAGCCCATCTCCTGTCCCACTTCCCCTTGCACCACCAATCTATAGTCTTTGCCGCCTCAGTTTCCCCATTTGGGAAGTGGGTCCTTGGAGGCTCTTCCCACCTGCTGCTTCTCTTGGCAGGATGTGAAGTACCTGGCCATTAGTGGCTTTCTCTTCCTGCGATTCTTTGCACCTGCCATCCTCACCCCGAAGCTGTTTGACCTCCGGGACCAGCATGCAGATCCCCAGACCAGCCGCTCACTGCTACTGCTTGCCAAGGTGCCGAAAGTGGAGTCCCACATCCTGGGTGTTTTTAGCCTGGGGAAAGCATAGGAACAGAGCTGGAAGGCCAAACTGACAGAAGACCCAAACGACACCCAGAGAAATCTGTCCGAAACACCCATTAGCCTTCCATCCCAACTGTGAAGGCATTCATTCATATGTTCTCTAATTTCGTCTCTTGAAACGAAAACCCTACCCTTCCAGGAGGAAAGTGGGAAGCGGGCTAGTAGTCATTTACACCTTAGTATGAATTAGACCATCCTTTGCAAAGTGGCCATATTTTGAGGTTCTGATGGGCTTCAAAGTATGCATGATAGGATCAGGCAGTCCTGGGTAGGGGAATCAGGCTCTGCAGGGAACAGAATAAGGGCACTGGGGTTGCATATCTCTCCATAGGGAGGGGTAGATATTGCTCAAAGCAGATGCTGCTATGAGTCTTCCCCTTTCATTGAGCACTGATTTGAGAGTTAGGACTCAGGGGCTCTGTTCTGGGTCCACAGACAACCCTTCCCCTGCAGTGACCTTGGCCCTGGCATCCCTTGCTTCTTTGCTCCAGGCTGTGCAGAGCATCGGAAACCTGGGCCAGCAGCTGGGCCAGGGCAAGGAGCTATGGATGGCCCCCCTCCACCCCTTCCTGCTGCAGAGTATCTCACGTGTGAGACACTTCCTGGACCGGCTGGTGGATGTGGATGAGGAGGAGGGTGAGTCTCTGTGTTCCTGCCACATCTGGCTTGTCACTCTGTGGACCCTCGGGACCTGCCCTTCCCGCCCCGCCCCCACCCCAGCATTGAGACTATGGACCTGTGTGGGTCAGCTAGTCAGTCCACTAACATTTCCTGGCCCCTCTTGTGCTAGGTCCCAGATATGAACAGAGCTCAGGCCCTGTCCTCCAGGCTATTCCAGCCAATGTGGAGATGTGTGTGGGTGCTGTCGCATGGTGTGCACACAATAAAAAAATATCTATCAAGTGCTTGCTAGACACTGTTCCAGGTGCTGGGGAAACAGCAGTGGACAAGACAGAAGAAATTTCTGCTCTCATGGAAGTTTTATTCTAGCAGGGACCACAGGCTATAAAAAGATGAGTTAGCAAATAATATAGTATGTTTGGGAGTGATCGTGTTGGGAGAAAAAATAATGGAGGGAAGAGAATGTTGGGGTAGGGGTGGCAGGTCGAATTTTTAGGTGGGGTGGCCAGAAATGGCCTCACTAGGGTGCTACTAGAGCAAAGACCTGAAGGAGGACAGAGAGCAAGCCATGAAGATCCCGGGAAAGAGTATTCCAGGCTGGGAATAGCATGTGCAAAGGCCCTGAGGTGGGGAACGGGGAGCCACAGGGAGGAGCCAATGTAGAAGAGTGAATGAGGGGTCACAAAGGAGAGGTGGGGGCCAGATTGTGTGGGGGCTTCATAGGCAGCTGGGCTTTAATTGGGAGTGAAATGGAGCCTGGGACTGTTTTAAGCAGAAGAGTTGGGGCTAAGTCTGTATCACAGTGTAGGGCTCAGGGCATGAGAGAGTTGGGTCCAAGTCACATAGGAGGAACCTGTTGGAATGGGGAGACCTGGTTGTGGCATGGCGGGGTCCCTGTGGCGTTGGGGAGGGACCCCGCCCCCAGGGGGGGCTAGATCCCAGGTCCTCCCTGGACTGACTTCCTGAGGCATGCCCCCTCGCCCCTCCCCTTCCCCCCTCCCCCCCGCTGGCTGCCTGCACCATTATCTACAGAACTTCGGGAGAGGGATCCTGGACACCTGCTTTGTGCTCCCCACCCCACTTCAATGATCCACTCCCTAATGGAGGGAGTGGAGTCTGCAGCCGTCCTGTTGTTCACCCTCCTGCCTCTAGGGGCGCAGAGAGTCATGCTCATCCATAGAGGCCCTGGGCACACCAGCAGCGCAGGTTGAGCCTGGATATGAGGGGTTCACTGTCCCCCTGTTCCCATTTCCCAGAGGCTGGGGGCCCAGCCAGGGCCCTGGTGGCCCCCTCGGTGATTGTTCGTGAAGGTTACCTGCTGAAGCGCAAGGAGGAGCCCGCCAGCCTGGCCACACGCTTTGCCTTCAAAAAGCGTTACTTCTGGCTCAGCGGGGAGACTCTCTCCTACTCCAAGAGTCCTGAGTGGCAGGTGGGCCTCCCGCCCACAGCGGGGGTGGGGCGGGGCGGGGTGTTCCAGCAGTGGCCTCGCTCATTGAGCTGCCTCTCTGCAAGCGGGGGGGAAAACTGAGGCCCAGGAGGGGGCAAGGACTCAGCAAGTCCAAAGTCTCAGGCCAGGCTCTGCTCACACTTTTGGGCCAGTGTGGGCACAGGACAGACACAGGCATCCACCCCCCCCACACACCATCAGATGTCCTTCAGAATGTGCACTTGTGGTGGTCTGGACCCCCCCCCTCCCCAGGTGTGGACACACACAATGCTTAGCCGCCCTCCAATGCTCCCACCCAGGCCAATGCCTATGCGCTATCCTACTCACGTAAAATTAGATCTGTTTGCTCAGATGTCCCTGCCTGGCGGTATAGGTACACATACCAGGCATTTATTCACTCGGTCATTCATCAAACATTTATTGAGTGCTTACTGTATACCATGCAGCGTTCTACGCACTGGACGTACAGCAGTAAACAAGACATAAAATCCCTGTTCTTACGGGGTTGCCACTGAAATCCTGTGACAACTCAGGTACCTGCTGATGTGTACGCATTTCTGTGTCTGCACATCCGTGAATAATAGCTAACACTGGACAGGGTGCACTTGTTCATTATTCCCACTTCGTCAGCAGAGCATAGATTCTAGAGTTCCAGTCCCTGGCTCCACTAGCTGAGTAACTTCAGGAGGGTCATGGATCCTCCTGGGCCTCAGTTTCCTCCTCGGCACATAGACCCGGCCTCAGAAATTGGTGTAAAGTGATAAATGCAGAGTGCTAGAAAGCACATCCCATCTGCCATCTCAGGGGTTGCTGTGCTGATTGATGACAGTGATGGACACTGGAGCCCAGGGGAGTCCGCGCTTCCTTAGAGGTTGATGGGGCACATCTGGGGGACTCAGTGCTTGAGACAGGGGTCATGCACCCAGATTACAGACACACCCCCAGGGAACATCCCCTGAGACACGCCTCCAAAGGAAAGCTGTCCCTGGGCCCCGACACCCCGGGCCCCAGCCCACCCTGCAGCGACAGGCCTGTCTCCCAGATGCGCTCCTCCGTCCTGGTGTCGCACATCCGCGCCGTGGAGCGCGTGGACGAGGGCGCCTTCCAGCTGCCGCACGTGATGCAGGTGGTAACGCAGGACGCCGCCGGCACGCTGCACACCACTTACCTCCAGTGCAAGGTGAGGCATGGCAAGGATGGGGCGGAGAGCGTCCCTTAGGTTCCCACCCCTGACCGTCCCCCCGCACCCCCGGGCTCCCTGCAGAATGTGAATGAGCTCAACCAGTGGCTGTCGGCCCTGCGCAAGGCCAGCGCCCCCAACCCAGACAAACTGGCTGCCTGCCACCCCGGTGCCTTCCGCAGTTCGCGCTGGACCTGCTGCCTCCAGGCTGAGCGCTCAGGTGAGGCGGCAGGGTGGGCCCAGGTTCCGCCCTCCCTACCTGTCGATCAGCAGATGTCCCACCTGCGTCTGAGCTGCTGTGCAACCTCGGGCAAGTTACTTAACCTCTGTATGCCTCAGTCTCCTGAAGCGGAAAATAAGGTTGATGACAGTACCTGCCTCCTAGGGCTGTCGGGAGGATTGAGTGAGCTGATATACACAACGCCCTTAGAACACTGCCGAGCACATAGTGCTCATTACATGTGAGGTATTATTTTTTAAGCACCTACTATGTGCCAAGCATCTAGTGGTACACAGACATCAGGCTTGCTCTGGAGGAAGACAAATGAATAACCAGACAATTGTAATACAGTCTTCTAAGTACTAAGATGAGGCTTTTTTTAAAAAAAGATTTTATTTATTTAGTTGACAGAGAGACACAGTGAGAGAGGGAACACAAGCAGGGGGAGTGGGAGAGGGAGAAGCAGGCCTCCCGCGGAGCAGGGAGCCGGATGCGGGGCTCGATCCCAGGACCCTGGGATCATGACCCGAGCCGAAGGCAGACGCTCAACGACTGAGCCACCCAGGTGCCCCTAAGATAAGGCTTTTGAAACTCCAGAGCATGCCTCTGACCCAGCCCCAGAGTAGGAGATCAAGGAGGGCTTCCTGGAGGAGGTACTGTTTAGATGTGACCTGAGGAGAGGAGGCGTTAAGCAAGGAAGTTAAGAGACAGGGATGGGGTAAGGAAGTGTTGTAGGCAGAGCAAAGAGCACAGGCAAAGGCCCGGCGGTGGCACAGGGAGGGCTGAAGGATTGAAAAGGGTCTTCGTGGCTGGAGCCTGGACTGTGGGAGGAGGCTAGAGGGAAGTGAGGCTACGGCTCTGCTGGGCGGGAGTGGAGGCAGTGGGGCTTGATGGAAGTAGTAGGTTGGAAGAGGGATTTAGGAGGCAGAAGGCTCGGGGCTTGGGGACCATCTGTCGCGGGGACTTTTAGAGGGGGCAGTGGGAAGCGGTTCTGATGGCGCGGTGTCCCCCTCAGCTGCTGGTTGCAGCCGCACACACTCGGCCGTCACCCTGGGGGACTGGAGTGACCCACTGGATCCCGACGCTGAGATCCAGATGGTGTATCGGCGGCTGCTCCTGGGGCGGGACCAGCTCAGGTGGGTGCCCTAGCCCAGCCCACTTCCCCCGTGATGACCAGCCAGGCCACCTGCCCAGCATGGCCTCCCACATTCATTTATTCATTCTTTCCATCCGCTTCAGCTGAGCTTCCCGGTGCGCGGTGTGCAGGCTCAAGCAGGGGACTGGGAGTCGTCTTCAGGCAGGCCCCAATGCAGAAGTGGGTCTTGGATTTTTAATATCCGGGTCCCTTGAGACATGGGCACAGACCTTGGATGCGTTCCTTTTCCTTCCTTGTGGGCTTCACCCCTATTCAGTGACTGATTTGTTCCAACTCCTTCTAGAGTGGGTTCTGAAGCTGGCCTGCCTGGCTTCGAATTCTGGGCTAGCCACTTACTGGCTGTGTGATCTCGGGCACATTGCTTACCCTCTCTGTACCTCCGTTTCCTCATCAGGAAAATAGGGATAATAATGGTACCTTCCTCATGGGGTTGTCCTGAGTGGTCAAATGAGCTAATACAGGTGAGGCATTTTGTAGATGCCTGGTCACAGCTTTCAATACACGGTAACAGTTATGCTGTGCAACCTTAGGCAAGTTACTTTACCTCTCTGTGTCTGGACTGTATAATGGAATCAACAGTAAGTACCTACCTTGGATACATTTTTTGTGATACTTAAATGAGTTAATACATGTGAAGGGTTTATAATAGTGTCTGGCATTCTTAAGTATTTGATGTGATGGTGGTGGTGGTGATGGTGACTAGTGGGAGACAGTCACGTCTCCTGCAACCAGCAGAGAATCTCTGGGGTGGAGACCAAGATTGGGAATCAGGGACCAACCTTGTCTTTCTCCCTTTCAACTTCCAGGATGAAATTCCAGGAGGATCCCAACACAGATTCAAGCCCAGAGGCAGATGCAGAGAAGAGTTCCGGGGCCACGGAAGGTAAGGGGCTAAGGAGGTCCCCTTTCTTCGCCGTCTCTGTCCCTTGCCATAACTTGCCGAGCCCACTCTTATGTCCTTCCCCACAACTCTCCCCTTCGCAGTTCACCAGCAGATGTGGTGAGTAGGGTGACGGAGTGTGTGGGCTCTCAGGGCCAGCCTGGAGCCTGAGAAAGCCATGGGGTCTGGGTTATGGCAGCCCGCCCTGGCCTGGCTGAGCCCCCACGGCTCCTTGTCTCCCTCACAGGGGCCTGTCCCGATGCCCTGGCCCGGCAGAGAGAGGCAGCCGCCCGCCTGCTGGAGGTGCTCACAGATCTGGACAGAGCCCATGAAGAGTTCCAGCAGCAGGAGCAGCAGAAGGCAGCCCTGGGCCCCCTTGGGCACTAAGGAGATGCCAGAGCCAGCCTGGAAGGAGGTGGAAGGAGCCAGCGGGCCCTTCTCAGTGCACCCTGGCCCCTTGAGGCTGTCCTGTACCTCGTTGATGCTGTAGGGTGGAGGCTTCTGGAGATCTCCTAGTCTCTGTGCCCTAAGTCCAGAACCCCGGGCATGGAAGCCCTCTGGCAGGGGGCTGGCCTTTGTACTGAATGAATCTCAGTCTCTGGGCTGAGGCAGATGGGAGCGGATGGGATGAGGACCCCGACTCATTCCGCTCAGTGGAAGGTCTCTGCTAAACCAGACTGGCCTCTGCCCACACTGACCAAGCCAGCCTGGTCCTGAGCTGCTAGATACAGCTGTACGTGAATCCCCGATACCCACGTGGCCTTGTTGCCCCAGACAGGCACTAAAGAGGCTCAGCCCTTCCTGTTTTCATGTCTGCCAATCCGTGTAACCTTACTGATCCTCCTGAACCCTGCCTTGCCGAGAGTCCTAACCACAAGCTTCCAGAATCAGGTTCCCTCGGGAATAACAGAGGCTTGGACCCCAGTGTGCCAGACTTAGATCCTTGGATCCTGGGAGACCTTGGGCTAGGTTCCGATCCCCTCTTTGAGCCTCAGTTCATGCTGTATAAAATGAGGGAGTGTCTAGATGTGTGGTTGTCAAACTGGGTTCCACGGGGCTGGCTTAGGAGCCAGGGAGGGGGTTTCTTAGACTGTGGTCCAAAACTCACCCCCTAGGTTGTCTGCTAGAAATGCAGATTGTTGGACCCCACCCAGATTTACTAAATCAGAATCTGAGGGAGTGTGGGCACAGGGATCAGGATTTTTAACAAGATCCCCCGGTGATATGGTCGAACACAGGATTTGATGATCAAGGGGCTGGGCAATTATGTATAGTAAGGTTTGAAGTGAGATTTTGTTTGAGAAATAATCATAGAGGGTAAAATATTTGGGAGCACCCAACTGGCAGAACTGGAAGGGCCTCCAAGGACTCATTTCTGGTTTCGTGTGACTGGAGTGTGGGACAAAAACCAAAGCATATCTGGAGATAAGGGGGGACCCGGAAAGATGCAGTGCTATCCCAAGTGTGGCCAGCAGGGGTCGCCTGGAGCCGCAGCATCCGCCACAGCCACCCAGCATCCTGGGATGCTGCCGAGCTGATAGGAAGCTTGTTGCAGATCCTGGGATCTGTCCCTAGACAGAACCGGGCCCTCCTGCCTTAGGGCAGGGGCTGGGGCTCGAGGAACCAGTCACGGCGTATCCCAGCTCCTCCACGTTTTCCCGTAGGCTCTCAGCTCCCAGCCCAAGTCCCTCATTCCCAGTACTGTACCGGGGAGCAGCTGTGTGCATTGTCTCGTGCCGTGCTTGAGAACGGCACCTTCAGCCCTGCCCTCTTGGGGACTAGGGTTGGGAGGGTCTGCCTCTGTCACCTTCACACTCCCTGCATACCCCAAGACAAGAGAATTATGGGGACCCTCAATCTCCAGCTGCCCAAGGCTGAGAGGGGCAATGGTCCTGGGGTCATCATTTTGTTGTAAGCTCCCCGATGGGGTGGGCCAGAGGCCCCCAGGAACAGAGCCACCCCCCCCCCCCCCCCACCCCCCCACCCCTCTTGGCAGGAAAAGACTGAGTGAGGAGGAGAAAGACCATTTATTTCTCCACCCACAGTGGGACTGGTAGGTTTTCAAAAGAGCAATCTCTTGCGTCCCTTTAAATCTTGGCTGACTTCCACCGTGGCAGCCAATCAACAGAGGCGGAGCTGGTGAGTTGCCTGGGCAACAGGCCCCTGGTTGGCCAAGACCATCAGCCACCCCACTGCCCACTCCCAAGGAAAGGGAAATGGACTCTTTGCTGTCCGGTCTGCTTTTTAGACCTGCTGGCCTAAGCTAGGCCTTCTCGTCTTGCTCCTGAAGCCAGAAGCTCCAGCCTTTGGATCTCGACGTTTGGGAGTGATTAGGTGGAGAGGATGGGGTGGGGAGGAAAGGAGAACAGTGCCTTTATCTGGGACAGACATAAGGCCTGGGGATGGGAGGGGAGAAGAAGGACGTCAGAGTCCCAGAAGGATGAAGAGACACAAGCACAAAATAAGATCCCTCTGGTCCCCCTCTCTCTGGCCTGCCCCTTTGCTAACCTGCTGACTAATCTGGGGCTTCTACCCCATGGGCCCACAACTGCCTATCAGTGGGTGGCAGAGATGGGGGGAGGCTGAGCTTCCCAAGGGCCCTTTTCCCCTCAGAGCCCCAGCAGGGCCCCAGGTGCTTGACCTGAATCCCATCTGCAGACAAGCTGTACGGAGACGATGGAGACACAGATGGGAATCCATATGGGGTATTACAGGGGTCTTCTGTCTCTTCCCCCCCAGTCTGGGGTTAAGTAGAGGCACGTGGGTGTGCGTGCATGTGTTCAACAGGACACGTGTGTTTGCATGAGGGGGTGGGGCTCTGTCTTTTTGGTAGGGAGGTTGCTGTGGTTCCTGGTACTCTCTCTGCCACCCTCTCGGGGAGCTACAAGTCGGAGCCGGCTGGCCTGCCATCCTCCCAGCATATTCCAACTACCTCCAGCCACATCTCCAGAAAGCTTCTGGCTCCTTCTGCAGGCTCCTCCCTAGCCCTGAACCTGGGCCACCAGGACACACCTGGCAGAGGGAGGCAAGTGCCGGACCAGGGGGCCAAGCAGGAGGGAAGGTGGGCAGCCTCGGGCCTCAGGCCTTGGCTGCAGCCTCAGACACGCCCTGGGCTGTGAGCTCGGCCAGCACATTGTCTAGGTAGCTAGCGTCCGGGTAGCCGTGGCCTGTGAGGTTGGACCCAAACTCGGTCTTGTGGTGGATCTCGTTCCATACCACGGTGTCCGACTCGCCCGTGGTGTTGGATGTGCCGATGGTGAAGATGAGTCTCCGCTCCCAGGCGGTGATGAGCAGCCTCAGCACCTGGCGGGTAGGCACCAGGACAGGCGCGGGGGTGAGGGGAGGGCCCGGGCAGCCCCACCCTGTGGCTGGAGCCCCCTCCTCCCCCAGCCCAGCCTCCCTCCCTCCCTGGCCACACTGTGGCTCCGTTAATGCCTTCTAAGCCTGCAACATTACCAGTGGCCACCCAGCGTGGCCACTTCCCTGGATGGACTCCCAGTAAGAGCTCTTTCCAGGTTATCTGCCTGTTTCATCTGGGTCTCAAATTGAAGGCCCTCAGCTGTGTCTCGTTTACTAAATAGCCATTTTGTGACTTCTTTGGCAATGTTCAAAACCCTGGAGATTTTACATGAAAATCAGGAGATCTGGCTTCTCTTGAAAAACAAGAAGTGAAGCCGACAATCCGGAGTGTGGTGGTGAAGAGCCTGGACTGCCTGGGTTGAAATCTAGGCTCTCCCACTTACTAGCTGTGTGACCTTGGGAAAGTCACTTGCCCTGTCTGAGGCTTCTGTAAAATGGGGTCAAGACCTTGACCTCACCAAGCTGGAAATGAGATGGGGGCTGTGAAGCAATTGGCAGGGCTGGACTCACACTAGGAGGTAGTGGTCGATGCTGGTGCAGGGAGGAAACAGGGATTGAGGGTGAGGGGGAACCTGGCCAGCTCCCACACCCCTGCACCCTCAGGGCACCCACCTTCCGGCCCTTCTCATTGTTGGGCAGATAGCAGTGGCGCGGGAAGCCTCTTGCGGTGAACTTCTTGCCTGGGTTGGGGTGCTCTGGGCCCTGTGGGGAGGGGAGCAGGTGCTTGAACCATGGACAGGTGTGGGGGGGCCTCTGCAGGGTTCAGAGTTGAGGCCAGAGGGGCGGGAAGGGAGGGCTCACCTGGATGCCTGTGGGGATGTCGTAGACAATGCGGATGGTCTGGGTGTCAGCGAAGCCCGGCAGCGAGTGGGGGATGAGGTGGAACTCCATCTTCCCGGGCGGCTGAGTGCCCGTCTTCTCTCCATAGATGGCCTTGCAGGTGGGGCACTGCAGGCTGCCATCCTGGGGCGGGGGGGGGAGGCTGGCGGTGAGGCCCGCAGGTATCCCGGCCCCGCCCCTCCGCCTGCGCCACCCACTGGCTCCACCCACTGGCCCGCGCGGCCCACCTTGTTGCCATTGGAGTACATGGCCACGAGGCACAGCAGGTGGTACATGTGGCCGCAGCGGCCCAGGCGGCCCACAAGCTCGGGCCGCACGCCCCTGTGCCGAAGCACGCCCTCGTAACCGGATGCTGTGACCAGGCGCTCCATGCAGATGGTGCAGTCCTGCGGGCAGGGACACAGAAGGGAGACTGAGGACTGGCCAGGGCAGGACACCCTCAGGTCAGAGCTGCCCCTGGGAGGATCCCAAGGGTGGCAGATTGCCCCAGCCTCCGGTCCCATTTGGCAAAGGGAGAGGACACTCCCATATACTGAATGCAGATACATGGCAGAGGAAGACAGGGCTCCCTGGCACCCCCATCCAGAGGGATTAAAGGCTTAACTATCGAAAGCAAAACTTAAACATGGGGTGTAAAACACGGGTGAAAATAAGATACGAAAACTGTCACTCATCAGGAGATTGATAAACGTGATTCTATTAAATCTGTTTATCAGAAGACATTGCATAAAAAAGGTGTTGGGGCGCCTGGGTGGCTCAGTCGGTTAAGTGTCCGCCTTCCGCTGGGGTCATGATCCCAGGGTTCTGGGATCGAGCCCCACATTGGGCTCCTGGCTCAGTGGGAAGTCTGCTTCTTCCTCTCCCTCTGCCTGTCCCCCTGCTCATGATCTCTCTCTCTCTCTATCTCTGTGTCTCAAATGAATAAATAAAATCTTTAAAAAGAGAGAGAGAGAGAAAAGGCGAACCCCCAAACTAGGAGGAGAGATTGTGACACACAGAACCACGGGAGAGGGTGTAGAGGATGGGAGGTCAGGGGCTGGGGAAGCGAGGGCGCCGCCCACTGCCCAGTCCAGGACCCTCCCGCGGGGGCTCACCTCATCGGGCGGGTTCTTCACCTTCTGCATGTACCTTCGAACCACATCCTCGGGGTTCTTGCCTGCAAGGACACAGCGGGGTGGGCTCGAGGGTGCCTAGAATCTCCCCCTAAGGGCTTGGCTCAGGATGGGGTCAGGGGTTAGAGAGGGGTTGGCAGGAGTCACCTTTCAGCTGCTGCTGCAATCAGAGTTGGTGGCAGAGGGGGTCAGGGGAAAGGGAGCTGAGATCAGGAGATGGAGGTGGAGTTCTAAGTCCTAAGAACAAATTGGAGGTTGGGGTCAGAGGGGTTGGGGTAAAGAGTTAGGTTAGTGGGGTCAGGGTCGGCGCGGAAGGCGTACTCTTCTTGAGGTGCTTCTTCTTGGTCTTGCGGCACACCCCGGGCACGCCGGGCACGGGCTTGACGTCGCTCTTGCTCACGGGCGGCGGGTGCAGGATGGGCTTGGGGGCCCGCGTCAAGCACACGGGCAGGCCCGCCGCACACAGCAAGATCCCGGTCATCCCTGGGGAGAGGGCGGGGCCGTCAGGGGGCATGGCGCCCACCTGGTCCCCGCCCACCTGGTCCCCTTTGGGCGGGCGCCAGAGGCCTCCCCCAGGCCCCGCCCACTTGCTTGGCCCAGGAATCCTGGGGCCTTCAGGTCAGGATGGGCCGGGGGCCCCCTGGGCCCCGCCGCGGGTGGAAGCCGAGTGGAATGCCTTCTGCGGGTCTCGCCCTCCCCAGGGTCAGGGTCCAACGGTAGGGGCGTTTCCTCTGGGCCCCGCCCACCAGCCCCGCCAGGGGGCGGAGTCACAGGGCAGACAGGTGGGGCCGCCTCCTCGTGGGCCCCGCCCTTCTGTCCCTCCAGGGCTGGATCTCACCTGCCAGGGCCGGATGGACCGGCCCGGTACCATTCAAGTTCTTCACTGGGAGCGCGGGGACCCTGAGGGGAGAAAAGAGGCCGCAGCTGGACTCTAGCCCCACACACCGGAAGATCAGGGGATCCTGGTTTGCATTCTGGCTCCTGGGCATACTCTGACCTCTTTATGCCTGTCCCCGTCATTTAGAATGATCACCAGGGATATAGGCACCCTTCTTTTACGGGGCGGGCTGTGATTGGGATCTCTGCCCCAGTTATAATGTAATGGATCCCTAGACTTACTCCTTTCTTCCCCACTCCTCAGCTGGCCTCCCTTGCGAGAGCTTGGGGTCCAACAGTTCCCTTCTACTGGCCGCTGTGCCTGAAACCCAACTGTGAGTGATGATGTAGCCATTCCAACATTTCTCCCCATAAAAGGTTCTGGGAAAGAGGCATTCCGGGATCAAATAAGTTATGAAACACTTCACTGTCTCCTTGAAAATTCACAACATATATGAGCACATTGAAGGCTCTGATAAGTCCTGCATAAAGAAATGTGATTAGGAATGATAAATCCAGGTTTTCCAAAGACATTTTACAATGAGTATGTTTTTCTCCTCTCGAGGATCTACTGATGTCAGTTCCTATAATCGAGGCATTGCCCCTCTTCAAACGAAGAGGCCTTAGGAAACCATAGCCTGCTTCCCCTCTTTGCCCTCCCCCACCAAAGAGCTCTGGCTTTTGAAATCAGCCAGAGCTGCTCTCATATCTCAGCTCAAGCACTAACTGCCTGGGTGTCACACAGCACAGTACCTCTCATAAGCCTGTCTCCCATCTGTAAAATGGCACCGTCCTTATGTTTGCTGTGAAGAGTCCATGAAATTCTGCACGTCAAGGGTCCAGCAGAATTCCTGGCACCTAATAAAGACTTGAAAGGCACTACCCATCACCAACACCCCACTGATGCGTAAGCCTGGCTGAGCAGTTTCACCTCTCTGCACCTCGGCCCACTGAGTCACAGTGTATCTTCCCTTCCCCTTGGAGAGGAAACCATGAAAGTATTGCAGTGACAAGCTTAGGCAAGTTACTGAACCTCTGTAACCCTCTGTTTCCTCATCTGAAAAATGGGGATAATCATACCTCACCCCCAGGGCTGCTGGGAGGGTGGAATGAGAAGGGTTGTGGCAATCTGCATACTGTGCCCGTCTGAGGCTTCACTACTTCAGCGCTGGGTTACATGGGTGAACTACGGTCTGGCTGCTGAAGCGCTGGATGGATAAGTCTCGATGAAGACATGTGTTCTCAAAGCCAGGGGAGCCAGAGGGGCTTGGGAGGTGTGCCAGGAGGGTGTGCAGGAAGGGATGGGGGCAGGGACAGCTGGGGAAGTTGCTGCTACCACCCCCTTTGCCTGCCTGCTAAGTTCTGAGCCTGGCCAGTGCTGCCTGGTCATCGGCCCCTGGCAGGCACAGTCGATCCCGGGCAGCCGGCTGAGAAGCATCTTTAAGCAAATGGTATGCTTGGCAGGCTTGGGCGCAGCTGCAGTGGATCCAGAAACACACACACACACACACACACACACTCTCACACTCCTGGGGAATAGGCGCTCTATTTCCAAGCACACATATACAAGTGTTACACACACCACACATACAGGTACACAGATACACACACACACATAACATGGAGAACACTGCACGAACAGGTACCTCCCCCCCCAACACACACACATCCCAGGAAGCTCCTTCCCCAGACACAGACACAGAATACATGTGCGTGGAGAACACAAAGCCACACACATTTGCATGCAGACACACAAACACACCAACACACTAGGGAACATTACCAAGCACACATATATCCAAAGACACACACACACGCATCTCAGGGAACACACCCCTCACAAACATACACGGATTCAGACACACACACACACTTCTGCATGGTAAACACCACACACATGGAGGCACACCCATGCACACACCGTGAGGGCATGCCATCAGGCAAGAGAAGCCAGCTCATGCAGCCACCCACTGCACATGTGGACACGTGCAGACACACAGACACACGGCTGGGGAGGCCCACACTTTGCACAGAGTCCTATGCACCCATCACCGCACACAGCCTCTCCACTCTGCCTGCTCAGCAACGCAGACCTAATCTGGGTCCCCTGCAGCACTCCTCCCAGAGCCTTCTGAGGGTGTGGAGAGTGTCTGGAGCAGAGTCGGGGTCATCGAACACTTTGGTGACCTGAACCACTGAACACAGCCCTAGAGGGGGGTGCTTTTGGCGGGCAGGTGCCATGGGAGCCCCAGCACCTGGTCAGTTGAGGTGTGTGTGTGCAGAAAGGTGCTGTGCCTCAATTTCCCCATCTGTAATGGGGATAAAGCCTTGTGAGGGTTCAGTGAGTTAAAACACGCAAAGCTCATAGTTTGGTGCAGGGGTGTGAGTGGAGAAGGATTTTCTCCTTCTAGCAGCCTGCTGGGACCCAAGAGATGGGGCTGAGTTTCCATTTGACCCTCTTGGGGCCTGTCATAATCCTCCAGGACCTTCCTGCAGGGTATCACCTAATCTCACCCCTTCCCCTACTCTTACAGGAAAGCAAAGGGGCATGTACCTCAAGCTTCTCCTCTTCCCTGCCCCGTCCTTCAAAAGAGTTCTAGTGTAGGCACACCACGAAGGATCTCAATATATCTCGGTCTCCCCTACCTCCTTTCTTCCTGTCTCATAAAAAAAAAAAAAAAAAAATCCTTCCTTTTCTCCAGGGCTATCTGTAAAATGGATGGCAAAAACAGTATTTAGTATGCAAACCACTACTTCTTGTCTCCTACCTGTGGCAGACATCACTAATCCATCACAGCACTCTCAAGCTGAGCAGAATCTTCAGCACAGCCTCTGCTAATCAGTGAGGACAGTTCGCTACCCCAGGTCTATCTAATGACCAGCATCTGGTCCAGCTCATGACCTTGGTCTTGCTGAGTCTTTGGCCTGGGATTTAGGCAGGGGGGCACCTCAGAAAGGGAAGGTTTCTAAATCTTGGCTGCCCTACAATTTCTGGCAACACTTAAAAACCACAGAGCCCGATTTACAAAAATGTGTCTTGCTCCTGGGAAGGTTGTAGATAGGGTGTGACAGTGGGGCTGTTTTTTATTTACTCATCATGAGCTAGGGAACAGTGTGAAGGCAGCCCCCAGCCTCTCTGAATCTGCAGGCCCCCTGAGAGAACCCAGGGTAGCAGGGTTCCCACGATGCCCGAGCGTGGGAGCCACCCGGGGCCCCCTTTTGATGTGGGACGCGCTGTTTCCTCCGAGTCAGCGAACACATCCTCCTGCCCTGGACAAGAGTTTGCTGCCCGCAGGCCTCCCGGAAGGGGGGCCGGCCTGCACTCTCTGCTCCACCCTCTTGGGGCTCAGCCTGACAAAGGGTAGTAGGAAGCCATCAGGCCCCCTTGAGATCTGTTCTGACCAGAAGCCAGGCCCGGCCACCCCAAGGTGGAGATGGGTCCCACTGCCACGCTGGTTTTCTTGCTGTCTTTCCCACCTCTGCATCAGGTCCTATCTTCCTCTGCCCTCAACCCCGCACAGATCCTACCTTGCTCAGAGTAAAAGCCAACCTCCTTACCCTATGTGAGATAGCCGATACCTACCCCTTGAACTCTGTTTCCCCTGTGGTCAGCCCTCACCCATTCTACCCCCGCCTCCCTGCTCTTCGTGCTGTTCCTCGAACACACCAGCCACATTCCCACCCCGGGGCCTTTGCACTTGCTGATCTCTCTCTCCCAGAATGCTCTTCCCCAGATATCCTCATGCCTTGAACCCTCACTTAACACAGATTTCTGCTCAAATGTCACCTTATCAGAGACCTTCCGTACCATTTTACTCCAGAGAAAGCTCTGTCTTTGCATTACCTTATCGACTCATTGATGGTCCCAGCACTAACCATGACCTGATTATAAAGTCTTTGATCTGACCAGGCCCTCCCTGCCTCTGTGACCTCATCTCCTACCCCCTCCATCTCTCTTCTCTGGACACATCTGCTGTGGCTTTAACCCACTGAGCATAGTCCCCTGTCAAGGCCTTTGCACCTGCTGTGCCCTCTGCCCCCACGCTTCCCCCCCAGATGCTGAATGGCTCTCCTAGTTCTCTGCTGCAATGCCACTTCCTCAGAGACACCTTCCTTGACCACCTGACTTCAACCCTAGTACACAGCACAATAGCAGGTGTTTGATAAACACTTGTTGCATGAAGGAAGGGAGGCTGAATTTGGTGGGAACATTCTGAGCAGGTGACTCACGAGCACATGCTCAGGTGCATTCTCCCCATGTGTTCTCTGCACATATTTGAAGTGAGCCTTGAAGCAGGTGTCCCAGAGAAACACCGTCTGCGGCCTCTAGTCCCCTGGAGCTTCTCTGCCAGTACTCACGCTCAGGCGGCATCCTGCCCAACAGCCCAAGCAAACATCCCCTGAGAAATTCCCAGAAATGCTCTGCATCCCACTTGGGGCAGAGATTTCATGGTGAGGTTTAGGGGAACCCGGGCATTGCACAGAAATTGTCTTAGCGAATGTGCCACACAGAGGCAGACAGTGGGGTGTTCTCCCTGGTCAAAAGTTCTCACTATGGGCCCGATGCTGTTGTCCTGCTTCACTTCCTCATCTAATCGTACCCCAAAGTCTGTGACATCTGTCTACAGAGAGCGAAAAACTGAGGCCCAGAGAGCTGAAGTAATTTGCCAGTGGTAGAGCCAGGATTCCAGCCCAGGCTGTCAGACTTCAGAGTCTGTGCTCTTAGCCATATGACATGAACCAAGTTCCCTCACCATGGCTTAGCGGCCCAGGCAGGAGGCTCTGAGAGAAAAACCCCCGGGATTAGTCTGGGAAAGAGGGGTGGAGTGTTTGGGTTTCCTCCTTGCCAAGGAAGAGCAGAGGTGCTTCATATCTATGCCGGTTGGAAGGCAATGCTCAAAGGCAGGATGAGATAATGTGCGATTTTCCTAGCTGCTGTTCCTCACACTGTTCCCTGCCCTTTTCCTGCCTGGGCACCTTTGCCACACTGTTCCTCCTGCTTGTCCCTACTGTCTATTTCCAAT